CAAAATTATCATTGTTATAACTTGGTCGTTAGTTTTAGTTAATATCAACTCTTGTCTTTCTTCATTTACCATTCTCAGGTAACATTTTATCATTCAACAGCTCTTTTATATGTTTACTTTTTGACAGGTGGGTTATCAAGTTAGTGTGACGATAGCAGTAAAAAGGACAAGAATGGGATAGGCGCAACTTCAACTTATTTCAGAGGTAGCTATTAACGCGAGTGAGAGACGTAAAATGAATCTACAACGTATGACGCTGTTACTTGTGCTTACTGCTTTGATATGCTCTTACGTGATTAGCACAAAAGTGGAATGGCTGCAACATCCAGAATTTCTCGATGGTAACATTTATGCCATTGCTTCAAGCATTTCATATCAGATAAGCGGAATAAATTCTGAGGAGTTTAAGCGAGATTCGACTTTTTTTCCTCAGATAAAATTTTCAAGAATCTACGATTCAAAGATTCATGCGAGATTTTCAGGAATATATTACCATTCATGCTTCAGATTTCATTTTTTTTTATATTACCATTTGAAAAACATGGGTGAATAGAATAGGATTTCTGTACGTTAAGTTCAGTAGATTATACAATATATTAAAATCATTCAGGATCATACGATAAAGACAAGGAGCGGTGGATAATGAAACATCAAGGCCATAGGCCAAGATTGGTTACCCAATTAGGCATCAAAGAGGAAATGGACATTGTACCTCGGTTGGTTATTATGAACTCATTTTAGAGTGCGGTTACTGAATGGTGTCGTAGTTTGAAGTACCTCTCGACGACTTGAGGTAGTTTATTTAATATAGGTAATCAAGGAAGGAAGTTTACAGAGAGAAACCGGAATAAACGTTATTTATTGTATTTTCTTTTTTATTCATCCTCATTATCTGATCTTTACTTCTTTTCTATGGTAATTTAGGCGATCAACCAAGCGAGCTTTGAAATTGATGGCACTTGGTGATGCATCTTATGAGGTATCTGATGATATTGATAGATACAAAATTTGGAATGTGGAAAAGGTGCCAATTCGGAACAAGCATACGAGGAGAGCGTATGATAACGTGCGATCACACAACTTACCGATTCCCGAACGTTGGGATGGTCAAATACGACAATATGAGGGGGAACGCAAGAATATTTTGGCAGTAAGCGAACGTAGAGAGAAATATCCGTTTGAAAAAAAGAAGAAAATAGATCCGTTGAAATGCATGGGACAAAGAGACGGTTTATATGAGGTTAATTAGTTCTAATTTCATGCCATCATTAGGAAGAAAGATAAGAAATCAAAAAAAAAATGGAAGAATTGTCAGAAGAAAATATTCTTTCGGATGTTTTCTCTCATTCTCTCTCTCTCTCTCGAAAGATCGGATAACTTATAGTATTTCAGGCTGGACCATGTGAACGGTGGTACTTATCGTGTCGTAATGGGAAGGCGAAAAAAATTTTTTGTGTTAATGGGCTGTACTGGAATGGTGATAAAAGTCGATGTGAACCAAAAACCAATATTATCTATTGCCGGCGTAAGCTCAAGAGCAAATAAGTTTTAGGCATTAAAAAATTAACCAATTGGTTTAACTGTAGAAAATTTACAAAAAATGTTATGTTTTGCAGTGAAGTTTGACTGTACTGGAATGGATGACGGTGTTTACGTCGATGGTTGTTCGAATGTCTTCTGGTTTTGTAACAGTGAGACAGCATCGCTTTCCAAATGTCCAAAGGATTTATACTTTAGCATCAATAAGCTAAGAGTAAGTTCTACTTTTTAATGTAATCTTACTTTGATATTCTTTAATTTTGTTATTGCAGTGCGATTTCAAAGAAACGATACCGGCATGTGGTGGTATTGACCACGATGAAATGAAGTCGATCAGTTATCAGGAAAAAAATTTTAGGAAGTCAAGGCAGAACTGGAAGGAGCGTAAGTTTTATGGTTTAGCAGAAGTGAGTCAAACATCTGATTTTCATATAGTATCAAAGAGATTCTGTGAAATAATATAATGAAATAGTGACTTTTCATTTTAAAGATCTGAAAAAAAAACTGAAAAGTTGAAATTGACTGTTTAGAAATCACTGACAAGATGTTGAAACCTCATCAGAAACAAGACATTTGTGAAAAGCGGAAAGACGGAAAGTATGCCATTGGTAAATGTTATGATAGATTTCTTTTTTGCGTCGGTGGAAAGAGTTTGGTCGTTAAGTGTCATTACGGTCAGTTGTACTCGTCGGATTATCAACAATGTACAGATCCTCGAAATTTGCCGTTTTGCAGTGATTTTACGGATCTGGAGACAACAACAGTTGCTGAGTGAGCTGTTAATTAGAGATTTCAAATTTAACAACTAAAACATTTTTGGGAGTTTATATTTTTTACTTCTTGTTTTAGATATTCTGTTTCATGTTCTTTGCTCCCAGATGGGATCTATGAGCTGGGAGATTGTGAAAGAAACTTTTCAATTTGTCGTAATGGTTAGTTTCCCTGAACATTATTTACTTGTTCTTCTTGTTTTTGTCAAGCCTTGCTAGATCCCGCCTGATCGGTGTTCAGCCTGATCAATCCAATGGAAGTATTTTCAGTCTTTCACTTAGGAAGTAATGTCAACAGATGACAATTTATGATGTTTTACTCTATACTTCCGTATTCAGGAGTGGGAAGTAATGCTTCATGTGACCTGGGTTTTGTTTATAACGGGCAAACAGGACATTGCGACTATGAGTTCAATGTTGAAAAGTGCTCAAAGTTCAAAAAAACTGAAGAAGTGCATGGACAGATAGCACTTACAGGTACAGGTTTTATGGGTCATTCGGTAATTTAAAACGCGGAAAGATGCATATATTTGCTTTGGAAAGTTTAATAGATGGAAATAGAAACTTCATGAAAAAGAAAGTTCCATTAATTCCACGTCAATGTGATTCTGACGAGAATTTTTCACAGGCATAAATTTAGAATCTGATAAATGCTGTTCAGGAATCGTCGATAAGATGATGGGATCTTACCGGAAACAAAATATTTGTCAAAAATGGGAAAATGGCATGTATTCCATTGCAAAGTGCTACGGGAAATACCTTTTTTGCATTGATGGAAGAGGTCTTGTCGTTATTTGCAGCCATGGACAATTGTTTTCTCCTGAACATCAGCAATGTATGGATGCTGAAAAATTATCTTCTTGTGCTGATTTAGCAAATCCGAAAACAACCACCACCACTGGGTAAAGTCTAATTTTTTGCTGATGGAAATCAATCAGAGCATCTGAATTTAGTTAGCTAGGCTTTTAAAAATTTATTTTTTGCTCATTGTTTCAGATATTCTGCTCAATGCTCTTCTCTTTCCGATGGAGTCTACGAACTAGGAAATTGTGAACGGAATTTTTTAATTTGTTTTAATGGTTAGCTTTTTATCACTCCTCAGTATTCAATATAATATAGAGCGAATGGTTTCTACCGCTTTATTCTGTAATTGTATATTCAGGAGAGGGAAGCATTGCTTCATGTGATCCGGATTTTGTGTATAATGGGCAAACAGGGCACTGTGACTACAAGCTTAAAGTTGAAAAATGCTTGAAGTATAGAGGAAAGAAGCAAAGACGAGACAAATCATCTTTGTCGCATGAAAATACAGGTATTTGTGAATGGTTTAACAGTCCGAGAACTGAAACCCTAACTTGTCTACAAAAAAAAAATTCGGTTAAGCGGGATAAAATTTGACAGGATTCGACGCTTATTTGCAGAATGTCGTTGTAAAGGACAGAAAGATGGTCTATATGCAGTAGGATGTACTGAAAAATTCTATTCGTGCTCAAATGGTATTTCAACTGGACATGAATGTCCAATGGACTTAGTTTTCAATGTTGACAGTGGTTTTTGCGATTATCCGAAGAATGTTGTTGCTTGCGGTGGACATCAACTGATAATGGGTGATGAAGTCGGCGCTGATGAGTAAGTCAGCTATTTTTTAGATTTTCAGATTTTAGTTGCAAAAATGACGAAATGTTTTTTTGAAGGGAAGGAATTGCTTCCAACTTAGTTTCTGGATGTTCAATTTTGGAAGATGGCATTTATGGCTTATCACCTTGTGGTTCCGGATATTATCATTGTTTACGTGGTGCAACGTCTTTTGCAAAATGCGCATTTGATTTAGTGTTCAATCCTTCCTTGAATCGATGTGATTTTAGGTAACATATCATGCAAATTATTAAATGTGTATACCATTGCTATTCATTCATCTTTATTTCTCCAATCATTTTTCAGGAATAATGTTCCTGGCTGCATACAGTCCAACGAGACATCAGATAAAATCAGAAGACCGGTACATGGTCCTACGATTAATCCCTTAGAAGGTATGTATGAATTAACTAGTACCTACTATATAGTAATTTGCATAGGAAATATATATTCCACACTTGTAAGTTAGCTCATACCATTTACCTGCTGCTCGTTGCAGTTACTGTCAGAACTAGTTTTATTTTTTTAAGATGATATTTCGAAATGTGAGAACTTGAGAGATGGTTTTTATGTGGAGGGTTGTAGCAGAATATATTATGGCTGCGCAAATGGCGAAACATTTTATATGAATTGTCCATGGGATCTCGCTTTCGATTATCGAAGTGGTACTTGCGATGAGCCAAATAATGTCGGGGCTTGCAGGTATGCGATCCAGACACTTTTGTTGTGTTAATGGTATCTCACTTCCCATTTTTCATAATCCACTATCGTGACTAACTGATGTTGCAGAAGCGAAGAAATGCCATTATTATTATTTGACAGTACTGCGCCACTCATGCCAAGTTGTACTGCTCTTTCAAATGGCGCTTATCAGTTTGGTCCTTGCTTAGCTGATTATATTTTATGTCAAGATGGCGTTACTAATTTGGCCAGTTGTCCTGATCTGTTGGTTTTTAATCCAGACTATTCGCGATGTACCTTGCGGTCTGAAGTTATCGCATGCAGAAAAGTCAATCAGTCGATTAAAAAATTAGGTAGACTTTATTCCCAAATTTGGTAAGAACTAAATTTCAAGTGTAAGTTGCCGGTTTTTTAGGAATTTTGCAAAATATTATCGCCCTGGAAGTTTCAAGTCCTATTTGTCTGAAAACTGTTATTAATTAACAACGATATTGCTAATTACAGATGTTCAGTGTGCTGTTCGACCAGATGGGATATTTTCGTTTAATTGTTCGAAAAACTTTTATATCTGTGCAAAAGGAAAAACATATTTATTCACATGTCCTGATGGGATGGTCTACGACAGTAAATTTCGTCGATGTGAAAATTCTGCTGAAGCTCAGGGTTGTGTCCAAACTGAGTCTTCCGTGGTTCAATTACCACAGGAACTGTCACATAAACCACCTGACGTAGTAGTGAAAAGCGATGATAAATTTTGTGATGGTCGTCCTGATGCGAATTATGCAGCCGGATTATGTTCGAGAGTTTTCTTTTCATGCGTTGTAAGTGCTTCGTCTCAATTTTCTTCGTCTCGTTTCAACTTCGTCTTATTCACTTTTATTCATTTTAAATTTAAATTTCATCAAATCATCTAATTTAGCACATGACAAAAGTGTTAATGTTATGTCCTGAAACACTTGTATTTGATGCATCAACCAATCGTTGTGATGAACCAAAAAATGTCGCAGAATGCCGAAATAATTTTGTAACTGATGGGCAGGATGTAACAAAAGAACTTACAACTTCTGCAATTACACAACCCTGTGTAGGACGAAAGGATAATATTTATCAACTGGATTCTTGTTTGAGGAGCTATTTGCAATGTTACAATCAGGTTGACTTCGGAAAAATTCTTTTCATTTCAGAGTATTCCAGAAATAGAATTTATATTTTCCATAATTCGTGCATTCAGAATTTGTTAAGAAATTATTAAGACTGTTTTAGGAAGGAATAGTGAAATATTGTCCAGAGAATATGGTCTTTGATGGAAGTCTTTCTACCTGTGTTCCAAAAGCAGCTTGTAATGAAGAAATGAGACCATTACACGTAGCACTCGGAAGTGTAGGAAATATTGATGTTGAAAATAAGCTAACTCCTGAGGGTGAGGATCATATTTTTCCCTGTGACATAAATCTTAATGTATTCTCTCAGAAAAATCTTAATGTGTCTTCTCTTGCCTATTTCAAGTTCTTTCAGCGTTCATCTTTCGTTTTCTTTATGTGATTAATTATCAAAAAAATTTTACTTTAGCTACCAAATATTCGCTACGCTGTTATAAATTAGCGGATGGTGACTATTCGGCGGGTTGTGTTCCGGACTTCACAACATGTGTCGGTGGTACAGAAATCCATAAGAAATGTCCGAATTCAATGGTATTTTCGAATGTTTTGCGTCAATGCGTATCTTACGACCAGTGCGCACTTTTTATGTACCGAGTATTAGCTTCGTTTTATCCATCACTTGGACTAGACAATCATAAAGGTCATCATTTCTTTTGGTCTCACAGGATGTCCGAGAGTTTTTCTACAGATTTTTTGCAAAAAAAAAATCCAATTCTTTATAGAATGGGTGAAACAACAAAGCACTGTGATTACACCGTCAATTTATGATCCTGTATTGCCACCACCGGAAGCTAGTACAGGTAAGCAATGAATGTTTTTACCATCTCAAAAGTTTGAAAGCAAGTGGATCAAAAAGATGGATTGCCAAAGTCCATTTAAAAAATTCGCATGACTACAACTTATCTATACTAATATCAATCTGAATCGCTACTGTAGCACTTTTACGAAGTTGCCATACTGAGTAGGTTTTTACTAGAGGAAATGCTACTGCATGCTACTCACGTATTGTACGTGTGTATTAATTAAAAGCAGAAATGAACGACTTTAGAATACACCGAACGGCTATGCAGGCGCAAAAATAGGAGGTTTGAGATTTTACCCTCGATTGAAATGAAAATTGGAAAGGATATAGGATTACACACATGGAATAGGCTTATTTGTTCTATAAGGTTTATTTTTCTGGTTCAGTTGAAGAACGTTGCCAATGTCAAGTACGATGCCTCGATACACCTATTGAAAATGGCAATAATATGCCAGGTAAAGTTATTGTTTGCGATTTTTATCATGAAATTTGATCTCTTTATCTCATAATGACCTGGTGATAATACAAAGAAATATTCAGGGAAATTTCAGGTAAGTTGGTTGTTAATGAAGTCATAGTTCATTTGTATCGTGAATAATTGCTTTTGTGAGCTATGCTAACAAAATATTTTACGTATTTAACTCTTTTAGTTTGCGGTGAAGATGTAAATCGTTGCAAATATGCTAGGAAACAATGTGCCAATGAAGCTAGTGATAGTAGAAAGATCGATCAAATACCAAGTAAGTTTGGCATTTCCCATTTTTCTTCCGATCTCGGCACACAATTGCTGGTGGAAAAATATTATCGGAAATTTTAGAGAAAGAAGTAAAAGAGGTTGTTCATTGGTCGATTAATATCAATTAAAGTTCATAGCATCGATTAATGGCTTGATGGCTTGTATTCTAAGCCATTTAAACGATGTCCAAACAGGGACATAGGGATATTACACGAGGATATTCTGTAGCCAGTAGCCAGAAGCAATTGTAGGGATCTTCGCTTTTGTTTTCAAGGCGCAAATTTATTTCAGCCGAGAGACCAGTAACAATGGAATCATACTCTGAAGAAGAAGAGAATGAGATTCATTTCTGTGTGCCAGAAGTATCCGGGAATCGGATAGGTTCGTTGTGACAAATTTAAATATCGGGAATTTTTTCTTCGATCATATTGATGCAATTACGAATATGAGCACATTTTACAGATTCAATCAGATGTGATAATATGGACGATGGATTATATGCGTTGGATTGTTGGGATAAGGTTGTTATTTGTAGTGGTGGTTGGAAAAAAATTTATGGATGTCCACAGGGACAGTTCTTCATTCCGTCACTCGAAAAATGTGATGAATCCTGGAAATGCATTGAAACGAATTCATGTGGATCGGACTTTGTTAGTGTAATCTATTTAGGAAAAGTTGAATCAATTGCACCATCGATTTCGCCTGTATCAATTGGTAAGTTCCAATTCATTATAAGGACTTAGTAGATCATAATAAAATTAAAGTATTTATGAATTTATAATCTAACAATCTTATCTGCCTAGGTAATTTTTCATGTGCAAATAAGGCAGATGGAAATTATGGAAAGCAATGTTCACCGATATACATTAGATGTGTTCAACAAATACCAACTTCAATGACATGCCAAACAGGACGACTTTTTGACGAATATTCCAGTCGTTGTGTATCTTCAGATCATTGTCCTATGTTATCCACTACTTTTGATATTAGCAAGGTATTTCTGTAAAATTTCTTTTTTTATCAAAATTTGAGTAGCAAAAATTTGTATTGCAGGTTCAATGCGTTGAAAATGAACGTTTCGGAATTAGCAAATGCAATGATCACTATTACGCATGTTCAAATGGCAAATTTGTCCTTTACAAATGTCCACCTGGTCATATTTTTGATACTGTTCGTGGAGTTTGCGGCTCCAAATGTGAGCTTTGTGGCTGCCAAGCTGATAATTTAATGAGTATATCGCCGTGTAATCCTGGTGAAGTTATTCCTCTCGGGCCTTGTGAGAATACGTACTTTGAATGCGGTGGGCATCGAACCTTCGAACTGAGACATTGCATGAATGTAAGTGTTTTCATAGTAATTCTACATATACGTATTTATTATAGGTCTATATGATTTATAAAAAGAATTCCAATTATTTTTCAGGGTAAATATTTCGACCGAGTACTACTTATTTGCCGATTCCAGTATGAAATTGCGGAATGTTTTGGGAATTCCATTTCTGTTTCTGCATTATACGTAAGATATAGATACTTATTTTGCATCTGATTTCTCTTTATTTTATATCTCAAGTTCATATTTTCAGCGTGTACACGATTCATTTAAACATCCATTACGATTGAGATTGCCGTACACACAATCCGCCAGAATTGTGCCAAACAGACGTAATGTCTTATAGTTATATATCACTTCCACGTTTCGGTTTTTTTTCTTACTAATAATTTCATATTTTTCGATTCTTAATTCTCCGAAATTTTTTAATATATGGTGTTTTATACAGATCCGAATATGTTTTTTGGCAGTTTTTTCCAAGCTCCACCACGCAACATATTTATTCCACATATGGCTCGAGAACAGCATGCCTCACGTGTTCTTAAAAATTTAGCTGGTCAACTGAGGGACGTTAAAGACACTTTCCGTGTTATTCCATCTCTAATGAGAGGCATTCCGGTAAGCGTGTTAAAGTATTAAAACAGAACTATCTTAATTTGCTTTTTTTTTTAAATCTATGGTAAAAATTGGGTTAAATGTTGTAGAACATGCGGACTCGGGGATTTATTGATCAGTTTCACCTGCCCGGTAATTTTCCGACATATTCTTTTGGGGCTTCACAACCTTCCATTTCGTAAGTAGATTTTTTTGTTTTTGTTTTCTTTTTTTATTAAGTAGTTGTTTCTGTTGTGATTAAATATTCGAAGCTTTTTAGTCGTAAAAACGTTTTCCAGGCATGATTCAACAGTGACTTCGCCATCGGATTCTGATGGCTCTGATGGAGCCACCAACAGAAATGGAGCAGTAGATAGTCTAGAAGGTTGAAAACAGTTATTGGTATTCAGGAAACAGTTTATAATGTTGAGTTTCAGGAACAAAATCTGTGAATGATAATTTTGTCTCAGGTAGTGGTGAAGGTGATAATACATCTGCAGTAACTGGTAATGGTCGCGTGAAGCGTCATTTATCATATGACAGTGAGATTTCTGAAATGGAAATCGAATTAGTAAAAGGATTGGAGAGTAAGTGGAGAGCAGATTTGGAAACGGAATTGGAGGTGAAATAACTTTTTTGCCACAATCTTGTAATGCCTGGTTTTTGACTCGTAAGCTAATTAGATAGTGAGATTGTATTTTAATATTGCAGGATGATTCTTTCCGGAGCGGATCGAATCTCTGTCCTTCTAAAACAGATTCATTCAATATTACGTTAGGTATTTGTCGTCCGAGTTACATTTTTTGCAATGGGAAGGTGAGATATTTGAAATATTTTTTTTTCGGCTTGAAACATACCGGTCGTTAACCTTTATGCTCGTCAGATTCTTTGAAAATTTTAATTTTTTATTTTCTAATAAATATGCAGGAAAATTTCGCTTATGTGATGGACTGCAACGATGGAGAGCTTTTCGATAGTGAGTTGAAAGAATGTATACCCGCAGCACACTGCGTACAAAGAACATATCGTCAGAATAATGTAAATGAAAGTGAGACTTAGCTAATTAAATGCTTATCAATGATTGTAGGAGAATTAGAAAGTTGCCATAAAAAATTTTTTTTGTAGAGAATATGTGAACCCGAGTAGTCCAAAAAGGCTATTCGACTATCTGAGTTCATGAATTTCACTATTTTTGATATTCTTGACTGCTCAGATAGTAAAAACTACATACAGTACATAAAACATCTCATACGTAAGTGTGAAGGTTCGAAGTTTGGCATGCATAAATTCGATTTTGGCCGAGATGTTTTTGCTATGTTGCAGAAACTCCATGCGATTTATTGCCGGATGGCACATATGCTTTGCCGGGTTGTAGTAAACATTTTCTTTCCTGTGTATCCAACAAAGCGTTATTAAGAAGTTGCCAAGATGGACTATATTACGATGGAAGCAAACAACGATGTGACTATAAAGAACGCATAGCAAATTGCGATGGTGAGAGTACAATTTATAAATAATCTTTGCCAAATGTAAAAAGTTATTAAATTTAAAGAACTGTGGTACTTTAATGAGAAGTAATTAAGCGCTTTTATATAATGATAGCATGAAAACGGAATTTTTTAATTCAAGACTTTATTACTACCGAATGATACATTTAATCTTCCTGGTTTTCTTTCCTGTGTACTGATATACCTTTTGCATACGCTGCAATGTCTCCATGAATTATAACTGCACCAAATATAACGGAAGATAAGTTCAAAGAAAAACCGAATAGAATGAACATAAAATTCAAAGTTATGTATTTTTAGGTCACTCAAATCTTGAAAACGTAATAGAAGGGGCAAAAATTACAGTAGCAAGTGCTAATCATGAAGTACTTTCCACCTTACCAAACTTTACATGCTCTATTAACAGTACCGTATCTCTCGGATGTTCGCCATCTTTTGTTATATGTGCTGGCGGTATTGCATATGTATTCAGTTGTGATGGCAATCTTGTTTTCGACCAGGCAAAATCTTTAATTATCAAATTTTTGATTTTTTCTTTTCTTCTTTTTGTATGTTGCTAAAATAGAATTTCTGTATGGTCAATGATGTAATGTTTACTTTTGCATTTTGTTTACTTTTTTCAAAATTCGGATGAGGAAGAAGTAAAAGGAAATGAACTTGTAGACAACAAGTTCATGTAACAGGATAGAGGATACTCCAGAATGTGATAAAGAAGAGAACAAGAAAAGGATGCTCTCAGTGACCAAGGGATTCAGTTCCTATCCGCCATTGGAAGGATTCGGTGAAATTTTTTGAAAACATCAGTTTGAGATAAGACTTAGTGGGATTGATAGATATTTCTATTACCGCTTCAAAGTTTAAAGTGAGATGAAGCATTGATTAAAATTTGAATGTTTTGTTTATATTTGATCTCTCAATTTCAAAATTCAAAAAAATTCAGTTTAAAATCGCACTATAAGATATAGAAGGGTCAAATTAGTAATATTTAAAATTTGTTCAACCTTTCGAATGTGTAATACAATCTTGTTTCAGATGATTTACCTCATACTTTGGTAAATCTGACTAAAGTTTCATATGATGCTTCCAGTTTTGATTGTATGAGTGTTCCTGATGGATTGTTTGCTTCTAAATGCTCACCACTTTTCTTCGTTTGTTCCGGTTAGTCTCCTGTAATAAATAAACCGATTAATGATTGCTTTGTGTTTCCTCAATTTCCATGGTCTTCATCATGATTTTTCAGCTAGTCACCTAACTGGATTCGTATGCCAGGATGAATTATCTTTCAATATCGAAACAGGATTTTGTGATCAAAAAGAATATGTTGCATCTTGTGAAGAAACCGATCTCGTGAATTTTTCCACTACATCCCCCTCTATCACTGAAAAAATATCGTTGGAACCAAGTTTTATCACCGCTCAATCATCTTATCATTCAACTCGTAAATATATTCAGTCCATATTATCTATTTTTTTTTGGCTAAGATAAGATAAGATTATTGATTGATTCTAGATATTTTAAGCAATTAAACGATGGATGTGCGAGGAAGGATTTAACGGCATAATGTCCAGAGGTTGTTCAAGGAAGTTCGTCCTCTGTATCCAAAATGAAAGTCATTTATTCTTTTGTCAACAAGGCCTCGTGTATAATATCAACAACAATCGTTGTGATCACCCACGAAATGTTGCTGCTTGTGGTAACAAAGCTGGAATTTCGTTCAGAAAAAGAGCATACGGTAGGACTTTTTTGCGAATCAAATAATTTCTCAAATTTCTATTTATTGTAGATTTGGCAATTTTGATCTTTCAGGGACATCTGATTTCGACAAAGATTCGACCTCCAATTTTCGTGCTGTAGATTTGCAAGCAGCTGATTCTTCAAATCATATGATGCAAGCGCGTTGCAATGCATCACGAGGTCAAATTGCTGCATATGGTCATTGTCGGGGTGACTATATTTCCTGTCCGCAGTCTGGAATTCTTCGTAAGGTAAATGTGGTTGAGTGCCAATTTCAGTGCAAATTTTTTGTTATGTATGTTTACCTATTGGTATTTTTTCCCGTGTCCTTTTATACATTACTTACTTATCGTTCTGTTTCAGTCGTACTGCACAAATGGCTACTTGTTTGATGAGGATGTTGGACGCTGTGTTCCAGCAGAAGTTTGTGGAATAGTTGATGATGCTGTTGCAGAATCTGGGTCATTAGCAAAGGAAAAATGTGATGGTATAGAGGATGGTGTTTCAAAAGGGATCGGTCTATGTTTAAGTGAATATTACGTATGTAAGAAGGTAAGCTAATAGTAACCTTAAGAAATGATGGCTCTTTAATAACATTCTTGTGTATTTAGGGTGTTCCGATTCGCAGACGTTGCTTTAAATATTTGGAGACATTTTCTGCAACTGCTGGTGCATGCATAGCACGGTCGCTGAATCCTGAATGCACGCAGAAATCAGCTATACTAACAGAAGGAATCAAAAAATTCAGTGACGACTTTTGTGTCCATCGGCCGAATGGGTTTTATCGGCATCCTACAGACTGTACAAGAATCTTACAGGTTACTCAAATTCTTGAGCCAAAATTTCCACTGTTTTTTTACGATAAATACCATATGTTCGAAGATGATGCATGTGATTCTCTACAGCAGAACTGCGGAATCGCTTCGGATTACAGGAATCACTTTTTTTAGTGTTTTGGTGAGGAGTTGTTTGAACACCTACCATGTAATGATGGACTTGTTTTCAATGAAATATCCGGTGGCTGTGATTATAGAAGCAATGTTCCGGAATGTGCTGCTATTGAGAAATCCGCGGAAGGTAGTTTTGCATTTTACTTCATTTCTTCGCTATTTGCCAAATGTTCTCCGAAAAATTTTAAGAATTTGTCTAAATTATGTTTTTTTTTTTTCACAGATAATTGTAAGGGAAAGTCTCACGGTGACCATCTGGCAGATGAGAAAGACTGCTCGGTGTTCTATCGATGTGTATGGGGCAAACTGGAAAAACTTTTTTGTCCAGAGCATACTGTTTTTAATCCTGAACTCAGTGTATGTGACTTCCCTAGTGCGGTACCGTATTGTAAAGTTACTATGTGACATTTGTCATTTGCATTTCCTGAGCAAATGCAAGTTGCAAGCAAATACAAGTTACAAGTTACCCAAGTTAACAATGCATTTTAAGAAAAAAATGAGGAAATACATTGCTGTCTTAAGCTCATGTTGTGCAATACATTGATTTTGTAATAATTTGCGGTATTAAATGAACACTGTAAATTTTTTTCTATTACTATGGAACTTATTTGATGCTAATAAATTGTTATGAAATGAACTGCTTCAGAGAAAATGAACTTGCTCGTATGGCATTGACCAGAAGATAGGCCTATATTTTTTGTTTCACTAAATTTCAGTAAAAGTAACAAAAGGTTTTTGCAAATATAATATGCTTGAGGCGGAAAATTACTGTCATACAGCAACTAGAGATTTATAATTGAAGATTTATTATGGCCTAGATTAATTTATCAAAAGTGCTAGTTTACTTGACCAAGTATCGGAGAATACAAACAACACGGAAGGTGTAATTGTTAATGTATTCGATTTAGTTAATGCTGTCCTCGAAATCCCTGAATCTCTGTGTTTTTGGCGATTTCACATTTCTTTCCTGGTGAACAGTAATTCATTCCTGGTAGAGGGATCGTAACAATGACTTCATTAAATTTTATACCATTTTCCGCTCCATTTCCCTTCTAATTATCATTATTCCTTTTCTGTGAATTCATTTAACAACAGTATTCTCAAAATTATCTAAGTATCATTCTCATCATCTTGAATCATCTATCATCCACCCGATATTTTCGGCTATAGTGACAACATGGCTGATAATCACATTGTGCTTATTTGTGCTGTTGTGGATTAAACGGAAAAGAAATTTTTTTTCTTTATACCCAAAAAGTGTATATTCAATAAGGCAAGAAAGATGAAAGAAGAAATCGATAAAGATTATTTAATTAATTTCTTGATCTCTTGAAGTATCGTAATATACTTTTGATAACTTATTGCTATAAAATGATCTTTTTTCTTCTCGAAATAATTGAAGGAATAGCGTGGTGAAGACATTCAAATATGTTAACAGAAATGAATGGATGTAATTGCGTAACAGTGTATCATCATTAATGAATTCGTATCATGCCGCTTCCTCTTTCAGCTTTTTAATTTGTATCCGAGTATATTCGGCATCTTGCATGATAAGTGTACTTATTGTAGCATCCATAATAATTTTCGGGATATTTTTTTCCTTAAAATCCACGCACATCACGTAATCCACAACTGCTTTTGCAGAATCTTCAGGACAAACCCGAAAACGTCCACCGGCAAGTATTACATGCCCTCTAAAATAAATTATACATCGCATACTAAAAATAAACACATACCTTATGTCCAAAATGATATAAGCAATATTCTAACAATCAAAGTAAAATATTGTTATAAAAATAATATGTAATTAATGATTCATCAAAATAAATCTGAAGGAATGAACGGATCTACTTCAAATTTAGAAGCTATTTTAAACTTCATAATTCTTTTTATCAAGTTGATTTCAAAAGTTGAGTGTAAAAATCTAGAAAAAAAAAACGATAAATTTGTAATCTTAATATGAACTAACCGAATTTTTCGGGGATTACACTCAGCGCCCGTGAAATCAAAGCTTCGTGCCGCTTCAAGAATTTCATCACCGGAACTGTGAAATGTACGACACATCAGAAACTCTCGGCCTTTGATCTTTGCAAAATCTTCCATTGCATACTGAAGCAATAGTATTTGGACTCAAACAATTTTAAAAAAAAATTTTCCATCAAATCTTAAAGTAATGATATGAATTCTATTAAGTTTTTAAAATGTAATAGTTTGGATTTTTGTTTAATAAATCCCAATGGAATTGTTAATTGTTTGTCTTTCTACTATTCCCTTTAATGTATATGGGAATTTTTCGTTGACAATGGTTGGTTGATTTAACGGATGTCTAACGCAATTTCTGATCGTAAATCGGTCATATACTTAAGTGCAAATATTTTCAAACATATCAAATATTTACATAAACGACATCCATATTGGATGCCAATTCAGCAATAATCTTAACACTTGAGATATTTTTATTGTATTTCGCAATTTCAGCAAAATTTTCCCAATGTTCCGCAAAAGATGGCTGTAGTGGAAAATCGAATACGGTCTGTAAAAAGAAAAGAAAATAAGCAATGTTTACATTTTAACAATAATTTTATGTTTACTGATATGAAGTAAAACTAGAAATATTCAACTATTGTTTTTTTAAAATTAAGAACAATTTTAAAATTAAAACAACTGATATAGTAATATAGTCTAGAAATTCTACATTTAAAATATGAAATTAAAGGATTGAAAAAAGAAAAGATACCCTCATAGTGAAAATTTTTCCTATTGGATAATGTTTTGAGAAAACAATATCATTTTTGTTAGCACTTTTCTGCTTCCATCCCTCACGATTCTCGAAATCGGGCATATTGACCAATTCCATCATATCTCGTAATGCATTTTTAGCATGTTGTATTCCCTCCGCATACTTTAATTTTTCGTTTTTTTCATATAAGTGAAATTATTTTTAAAATTTAAAATTGTTTAACAATCGTTCAATTGTGCTGAAATCTAATACAATTGAAAATGGTAATTTTTATTTAAAAAATAATCAGAAAGATACTAACTTTATCGACATTTGATTGGATGATATTCGGTATAGTAGAAGTTGTTATTGAAGTCATTTTAATTTTTCACTTGTACAGGAGATTGTTATTATTAGAATCATTTAATGAATTAACAAATGACGGTTTGCACTTTACGACAATCCATCTATGAGCAATATACAAGTTATACATAGCGAACAAAAGATTTATATTATGATAATGGAACTGCTTAGCAGTTTTGCACTCATTGCTTTTGGTGGTAATGAAATGAAAATAAAGAGAGTGCGGAAAATACCAACTGTTGACATGAACGTTTCTTAAATAATATTGTGGGGAAGTAATAAAGAGACATACGTACATGTTCAACGTACGATTACGTTAAAAGTACAAGCCTAATTATGAATGTGTGTTATATTTTCTAAACTGCACTATCAGTTGTGCAATTCAATCGTTTCGTTTCCAAGAGAGCTAAGCCAAAAGTAATGAATTTTAAAAGTGAAGAAATTAGTTTACAGCAGCTACCCATATAGAAAAATTTGAATTGAGAAGCAGGAAAATCCTCTCATGAATTTCCTCACTAAACCAATGAATCGAACATTAAATAAACAGGTATCTATGTAACTTACACATACCTATGTGTAAGTCGAAAAGGAGAAATAAGAGATGAACGAATTATTCAACTGAATATGATTCATTTTCTCAATTTAAATAGATTGTACAGCAATGTACACATTTAAAAAAAAAAACGAAGCAATTTGATCAAATATGTCAAAGTGATTTTCACTTCTTCTATTAACTGATTTCAACTTATATATTACACAGCAGGGTGAGATGATAAAATTTGGACTAATGGAGAGGAATGATAAAATGCAAACGAGATGTACGGTAACTGGTAAGAATAATTGAAATGTTGTACAATCGGATGTTAATTTAAAATGTAATGAATATTGGTAAGAAGGATAGAAAAGATAGGGAGAAAATGATTAGGGGAATGAAAGAAGAGGAAAAAGAGTCGGAGGAGTAAAGAGAAAGTTTGAAAATGGAATTTTATTAACCATTTGGGAACTTTCTAACCCAACCTTACATTATTTCCACAGTTACTAATGTGATTCATTTCGCTTCATTTTCGTTAACACAACTATTATATTACACATTCTTGAAAGAACCGGAAAATGGCCAATGGAGAATTTTTTGCAACAAAAAATTTTCAATCGGTTATTTATCCTTTTTGTTTTTAGACTTCTCTTGTTTAATTCGTTTTTTTTTTTACTTGTTGTTTTGTTTACATCGATCTTTATTGTTTCATACGTTGCAATAATTAAATATGAAATAACAATAATTTGGTGTAAACAAAAGAAAATTAAAAAAAAAATGTCCAAATCTGACGTTGAAAGTTTGAAAATCGTTTGATAAATGCATTAACTTTTATACTTTAAATGTAATGAAGGGTAATTAATGTCGAAAATTTTGTGTTTATGATATTAACAAATAAAGATTTTCAAGTTTTTAACTTCAAAAGTTTCGCATTTATAAAAGTTTTTTTTGTATGATAAAAAACATTTCGTTTTATCAATTTAATTTTTAGTTTGTAAATACAGATAATAATCCATGAAAATGATAAATGTGAAAGGCAAATAAAAATCAATAATAATTTTTGCACCTATCAGCTAAATCATATCTTTACGACGACACCTTACAAACTATAAAAATAAAAGGCATTTGACAGTATCGATGAGAAAATCTTTCGTTTTAATTTGAAATTCAAAAGCGTTTTATAAAAGTTTACTCCAATGGCCGAAATCATATTGTGTAATGAATGTATTACCCTTTGCAATAATAAATGATATATTGTGAATTTTGTTGTAATAAATTTGTTATAATTTGTTTCTTTTTATATTAACAAATTTTTATAAATTGAATTGTTTTAATTTTCGCGTATGAAGAAGTTCAATCTACCTAAACTTAATTAAACGACAAGTGAGACTATTTGTTTTAAATTTAAAAAAAAAAAACTAAAATTTATTTGTATGGTTGATATGATTATCAAATACTTTGCATTTGCTTCGTTCACATAAATGTACTATTCTTTCATTGTTTGAAATTTTAAAATCTTTTGATAAAATTAATTCCGACATATCCGATGGTATTACTATTGTTAACCACTTTATCCAATCTTACAAGCATTTAAAGAGGTTTTAAAAGCTTTGGATTATATATCTGAAAATAAATCATTTGATTAGGGTGATAGCGATCGCCGATGCGATATGAAACATTCTATTCATCTCTGTATGGATTTTTGTATATTTTCCGTTATTTGATTTTTGGATATACCAAAAATCTGACAATATTTGTTTTACATTAGAAGTTGAAAACTTGGATAGGTTATGTGGTTTTATTTTCGGTATCATTTCCAGAATACTTTTTTAATGATTAGGGTTTTAACAGTGAATGTATTTCAGTGGACACTGCTAACGTATCGAACAAAACATTTCTGGAAAATTTATCGATAGTATGATAGTGAATTTAAATGAAATAGTTCATTAAGAGTTGATATCATCAGTCATCTTGAAGCTTCTTGAATTCATAAATTTCATTCTTCCCTTAGAAAAATTAAGACTTGTAAATGAAACATTTTTCACTCGTTTGATATCTTCTTTCAATATTAAGCTCTCATATACCAACCAGCTATGCCCTACCGGTGAAGAAAGAAGCGGGGAGGAAAAGAAACAATCAATGAATCATAGTATGTTGAAAGCCGTTTTCATACATTTTTTTCATTCAAAAGAAAACATAAGACATTGAAACATTTTCCAATAAACCAAATACAAAAAACATATGTTCAAAATAATAATTTAGTTGGAAAGACAAACAATGAAAATGATGTTAGATTATTATCGAACTATACATTATGATTCATTTGTTTTGGTTGATTATACTTCGGCATTCCAAGTCAGAATTAGAATTGAAAAGATTGTTGCTATAAAGATTATTTCTATAAATTTAAAATGAAAGAAGAGATTTGTGCCAAGAAACTTTCATATTTCGAATTGATTATAGATGATCGTAGATATAGAATGAACTTTATTTTAATTAGTGGTCAATGAAAGTTTTCAAAAAGTGATTAATTATCGGAAATTTATAAGAAAGCCAAATGATTTTATTCTCTTTCGATTCTTATGATGGGAGTTTATTATCAGAATAACTTTATGCCTTCTTCACTTGAACTTCTACTAAATTTATCTGTTTGAAGGGTTTTATGCACAGGTAATGCAATATTAATTCTGGAACAGAATATTTTAGGATACTTTACCGAAATTCACTTTACTGAAATATTGCCATTTCGTTTTCGAAATTCGTTTATTAAATGTATTTAATTCTTATTCTCTGAATTATCAAGCAAGAAGAGAGATCGATTGAAATAAAGGCCTCGTAATATCTTTTATGGAAATTTATGGAATTTTCTCCTTTTTTGCTACATTGTAATGGCAAAGCTATAATGCTATTGGAATAATAATTCACATAATACTTCAAACAATATGCCATCAAATGGAAATGACATCATGTCAGTTGCATTGTTAAAAAGTGCTACAGGAAAGTGTCAACAATGAATTACAGTAGAAATAAAAGTATTGATTGGTTACTGAAGAGTGAATTTTCCTCAATGCTATGCAGAGCTAAGTAAAGTGAAGCCATGAATACTGCACAAACAGTCACATTTAAAACAGTAAAGTCTAGAAATGATATTTAAAATAATGAAGGATGATTCAGCATTACTAATAGAAGATATCGTGTCGAATATATGTATACACATACATACACACACCAAGCTAAAGCACCGGCATACCCTGGTGAATCCGGGATCCAAAGTATCATCCATAGATAGTTCAAAAAACTGTACAGATAGGACGAATTGGCAAGCTTCGTTAATAGCTTTAATTCTCATGTAGAGAGTAAGACGGAATCAGGAAAGGATCGACAACAAAGCAAACATGGATTAGCGGAAGAATTAACCGGTTTAGGAAGCTTCCAAAACGATCTGTAATTTTATAACGGGGAAGATTAATGTATATCCGAATGACACATTCCTCTGTTGGCATCAGTATATACTGTACATTGTACATTATTTCTACTTTATTGTTTTAATCCGTGAAGCCTCTCTACCACTCTTAATTTCATACTATAATTCATCTCATAACATAACCTCCCAACATGTTAGGGAAATTACCACCGAAAAGCTTCCTTAATTCAGTAATAAGAAATCGAAATCTTGATATCCACGTTCACACCATTTCTTCCTTATCATACATGTATAATTTATACCATCAAGACATTGATCCTTACGAAAATGTTTGGCAAAGATGTCAAACCGATGTTGGTAGGAGTGTCAAAGGTCAACGCACAAAAGATAAAGCCCATTTATGTTCATTTTCATCGGTCATTGCTGTTCGATCGAAGTTTCTACCGATCATGTCCTTCATTACTTTTTATTTCCTTCAAACTTTTCATTTCATTCAATATTTGAAATTTGAATTTTTTTCCAAACATGCTGTAAAGAAAGGGGTAAGGAAAAGAAAGACCGAAGTTTTCTGCAATGAAAGTTTTTTGAGCAATCAATCCATTTGCATCCCAACCGGTTCCGTTCTTTGTTTTCCGGTTAATCCCTGACATAGTACTGTGTGCTCCCCGCTACCTTTTTATTTATTCTAAACTCGAAATTAACTGCAATAATAAAACGCCCCCTCATAACACCGATAATTTTGAAACGTCGTCTAGCGAATGCCCACGCACATCTTACACTCACGCAAAAACACACATACACTTTCTCTCCTTCCTTTCTTGTCTGCACCTCTCCATAATCGGCAACTTTCGTCAACATTCAGAGAGTCTTTTAATGGTGTCATCCACATCGATCCACGGCATTGCGGATTATTATTCAGCGTATCGGCTCATAATGTGTGGTCCTCAGCTGCGTATCGCTGTCGGTTGAATAAGAGGATAGGGAGAGAGTAATTACGATGAGAGTGTATGTTTATTACACTGTCAAGGTTTGTAGGAAAAGAAGTGGAGAGGATTAGACAACGGTGGGAGTAAAAGTGGGTAGGGCAACATGCAGTGGCGATAAAGCAGCAAAAGCGCGAGGTGCGGGAGAAATCTGTCGCGGTTGACGAGGTCGGTAAAGGCTTTAACGCGCAACAATTACGTCCATTGGTTTGACGATAAACACAGCGACGGTGGCATAACGTTAATTGTTTCCGTGAAACTAATCGGACGGCGAGAGCTGGAAAAGTGGATCTTACTCGTGTGGGTGGTTCGTGGCGGTAGTTGGTGGCAGTGGTGGTAATAATACATCGTCGTGTATATATGTGCGCGTGTGTGTATGTGTACGTTCATAGCGGCATAATACTCGCAAACCGGCAACGGAAAACTTGTAAGCTTACGCCGTGACGGGAAGCCTGCGCGTCAAGCCGTAGCCGAAAACGTGTACGCCTACGCCGTGACAAAAGCAGTCAAGTCTCTTCCAAAGGGACAAGCAGTTTTGACGGCATTCACGTTGGGGTTTTCCTTGGTATGCCCGACCCACAAGACGGTTGCCGCCGGAAGCGTAAATATTCAGAGGGCCAGCCTTCTGTTGCCCCCCTACAACAGCTGCTTAATCAGCACCATCAACAACAGCAGCAGCATCAACTGATGCCAACTTTGGCCAATACACCAAGTAATCATACGGTGAGTTATCATTTTCCACCATTTCTAAGTGTTCACTTATTGATATGCTGCTAACTTGTGCAGGTTAACTATGACACATTTGGGATTTTCGTTCAGTTTTATCATTAAAATTATACGATGCTGGAATAGTCTGTATGTGCGGTAGTCTTACTGTTTGATTTCTGAACATATAATATTTAATAGCAAGCTATTATTTTATGTTATATATTTCCCTTTGTCCTGAAAACTTTTACAAATGTTTTTCCCGGCGAAAGGAAGTTGAAGCTAAGTCTTGAAATGCCTCATAACTTTTGGCAAATCATATTGGAAAAAACTTTGGGGAATAAGTGACACTAGGATCGATACCGCGAGACTGCATTTTTATTCCATTATGTATTGCTGACAAATTCTGGGAGATGCAGGATACGCCAAATACGACTGAACGTTTTCGAAAGCTTTCAGTAAATGCCAAAAGCTATCTACGTTTATTTATGCTGACGTTTCACTTCATAAGTTGTTTTGTTGCACTGGGTTCGATTCACTTATTTTCACACTTTACAATGCGTAATTATGCTTTATTTTGTAAGTTAATCAAAGTACGTGACTGCATTTTGCCCGGTAATATTGGGACTGTCGCAGTCGTAATTTTAAACCTCAACTTGTCTCACGCCTCCCACATATACGCTTTGCTTCACATGTTCCGTCGTCAGCATGTTGAAAAAAAGCTCTCGCCGCACTTACAAATCCTGTAGTTTGTTGAGGGAGTAAGTTCGTATCACATCTTCTGTACGATTTTTGTTTCTTACTGATCTGCGGGTTACATAACTTGAAACGTCTTTTCCAAAAATTCCAATCTAGAAACATGACAATGTGAAAGTAGCGGTGAGGCATACTTCAGTTATTTTCATATAAGTCAAGATGACAATGATACATTATCGCCTGTTTGATATTAGGCGATAATCTTACCAATAGATGGATTAAGCGAAGCAGTTTGGCGGCGTACAGGGTCATGCTCTTATTCGGATGACGCGGACATGCTTACAATTAAATGATTGCGTAAGTGCTTGACGATACGTCTATCCAGGCAGTGATTAGTTTAACATTAAGACCATGTTATCATGAACCGTCATTCTATTTCTGATGAATTAACTTATATTTCATGTAAAGTTTTCAATAGTATTAACTTTTAGCTAGTTGCAGCAACTGCACGAAGCATACACACAGCACAAGAACACATCCGCAACCACAGCCGATCACCGTGCTCCGCCAGTCAAGCGCAAACCTGTAGATCAAGCTGAAAGTTCGAAGGTTTGCTGCGTTTTCTTTCTGAAGAAACTACATACAATCTGTTCCATTCCGTCCACATGCTAGCTAATGTGCTACAAGTGAAAAAAATGTGTTTGGTTACTGGCAAAATAATTTCTTTCGAAAAGTGAGATTACGATCGTGTCCGTCATACAATCGCATCATAAGCAGAAGATATGTCACCTGAAATTGCGGATACGGTAAATCTCTTTTGATAGGTCGATTTACAGTCTATACAATTGTTTATCGGTAGATCGCATGGAGTAACTGGATAACCTTAAATATAGTGCTCACTTACTACTGTCATGTAGCAGATAATGCACGGATTTTTTTAATTCAGATAAGGCAGGGGTATTTTGAGGAGCAAACAACTGCTTTTTGAGAAACAAACAATTTTTTTATAAACCTATATAAAGGCAGAGTAATCCTTTAATTTTTGCAGTTGTGCAGAACATGCAGTAGTTATCATTCTTACATTGCACACTAACCACGCATATTTTTTTTACTAAGATTTCCGAAACATTTTATGTTGTTTAGTCAAGTTTCCGGTTCACACTAACTTGTTTCTTCTTTTATTCGTAGCATACAGTGTTGACTTCTTCCTTTTACGCTGTTTTTTAATGTTGGAAACGATGGATTAACAGTATTCTTCTCTTACATTATTTCCCATGTGAAGCGGGGGCATTGCAGCGTTTTATTAGTTTTTTCTTTTGTATTACATCCAATGAACAAAGTTGAACTGATTTTATTGCTTTCTTCCGCGTAATTCTCGTTCCTTGTTGATTGGTCATTGTATACCGTCATCGTCATATCTGTTAGACTACTTGAAATTATTTTTTCTGCAGTCTTTGTTTTCGAATTCTAAAAATTTTGAATACAGAACTAACAAATATTTCAGGTAGACGTACCAGTTCAAGTAGTGAATTCATTGCCAGGAAATAAGACGGGAATCAAAACGAATAATAATAAACAATTCAACAATAAGACGAGCGCCCGTACGAAGCCCAGCACAGAAGGAGAATATCAGGTTTTTTTTTAAAAAAAATTCGGCAGAAAAAGAAGAGAGTGAACATAGCATTGTATTTTTTTTTTGCCTTATATAAAATTGGAAAATTCTCTTTGCGACTGCTTGATGTTTTTGTGTCGTTTTTTGTTTTCTGTGCAATTAAAATTCTATGTATATTTCTGTTATTTGCTAAGATTTCAAGGTGTCTTTTGAGTGTACTTTAAAAATTAAGCAGAAATTGTAGATTTAAATGAATTCAGCTAGGCGAGATCTTTGACTGTTTTTGGATCATAAAGCATGAGAATTAAAGTGGAAAATCTGGATTCAGTTAAAATCCCTATGCTATTTAATGCCGAAGATTTTGATCTTCATCATTACCACTTGGATATGAAGGTCTGTCTTACAAAATTTTTTGGAATTATGTTGATGATGAAGTTTATTCGTAAAATTGTATTGCAGTTAATAAAAAATGAGGTGCTCGTCTCTCCCTATCGAAACCAATATGAGGTATTAGAATTTCTGGGTAAAGGTACGTTTGGACAAGTTGTCAAAGCATGGAAGAAGGGAACGAATGAAATTGTCGCAATTAAAATACTCAAAAAGCATCCGTCGTACGCACGACAGGGGCAAATCGAGGTACTTTATTCTTGTTTTTTTAATTCACTGGGTATAATTGTCATAGTAGTATCGGGAGTAGTGTAAGGAGGACAAAACGTTTCTGTTAGCATGTCGGGTTCATTTGTAATCGAGAAAAGGAGTGTAAGTTTTTATGAACAGGGAAACAAGACAGGTAAAAAGTTCTGACTATCCAATGCAGTGCTCCGTCTGTACTGGCCCGGTCTGTGCCGGACATCACCAGCTTCTTGGAAAGTATCGAAAGATTTAAGAATGTTCCTCACAAGTATTTTATGATTTCTCCTTTATTTACTTTTAATGTAAAAAGTTGAATGGTTTTTTCAGGTTTCAATTTTATCAAGGCTGAGCAATGAGAATGCAGAGGAGTTCAACTTTGTTCGGGCTTATGAGTGTTTCCAGCACAAACATCATACCTGTTTGGTGTTTGAAATGCTGGAGCAAAATTTATACGATTTCCTGAAGCAAAATAAGTTCAACCCATTGCCCCTGTCCAGTATCAGGCCGATCGTACAGCAAGTTAGTTGAGTTTTTCAATTTCTGCTTATCATTTGTTTGGTTGGATGATTTGGTTTCGCCATGTGCAACTCTATGTAGCATGTAGTTGTTGTTTCGGCATAAGAAAACTTATTCGATCGAAAAGTGGACAAATTTGATGACCCTGTTAACATTGGTTTTGTATCTTGTCTTAGATGGCACTGATGCAATTCCTTGATTGCGCTTTTGAGTTGTATTGTTCAGGTGCTTACTGCGCTGCTTAAACTAAAGCATTTGGGATTGATTCATGCTGATCTGAAACCGGAAAACATTATGTTAGTTGATCCGTCAAATCAGCCGTTTCGAGTGAAGGTTATTGATTTTGGTTCCGCATCACACAGGAGCAAAGCAGTTACAAATACCTACCTCCAATCACGCTATTACCGGTTAGAGATTTTATCATTTTCATTTTTATTGTTAGTATGATTGATATCCCAGTTTTGACTTTTTCTACGATTTCCTCTAACTTAGTGAGCTACGGCAATTACAGCGTAATTAATGTTCATTTAGACATGCGTTTACCCCATAGAATCCTTTGCTTCATGCTATGAGAATACCGACTTGCAGTACAAGTTGTTTCTTCATTGTAGAATGGTATCTCATAGCAATGGGAGGGGGAGGGGTATTAATTGATGAGAAGGTAACGAAGAACTACATGATAAATTATTGCTCTGCTTGTTATAGTCCATTATTTTAATTATTTTACCTTTGGTTCATGCTAGTGATTGGCCATGAAAAATGGTACTATTGGTGCTATCTTCAGAGCTCCGGAAATAATCCTGGGTTTACCTTTCCGTGAAGCAATCGATATGTGGTCGTTAGGTTGCGTGATAGCAGAATTATACCTCGGCTGGCCGCTTTATCCTGGCAGCAGCGAATTTGATCAAATTCGATACATTGTGCAAACCCAGGGACCGCCGCCGTTGCAGATGTTATCAACAGCAGCTAAAACACACCGTTTCTTCAAGCAGGTGCCATTCACATGAGTTTCCTTTTTCCTCATTTATTCGGGCTATTTGTTTCTGCAGTATTCTCAGTGATTAAGTTGAGGTTTCATCTGTCGTCGAATGGTCATCACAATATGGTGTTGTCGTAGAGAATGTGGATGTTGTATTACTGATTATCATCTAGTTTGGCGCTAGGGATCTATCGGTGAGGTTCCAAAATCCTTTTGGGAGTATCTAGTGGGTCACATGTACACATAATAGACTTCGGGATTGCACTCGTGAACTCAAATATTTGCTTAAGGATTGACTGTGAAATTGTCAAAGTTTTTTTATGCTGCGGTAAGTGACAGTGAATGCTGTTGACCATACGCGAAATGTTATTTAAATTCATAAATTTTTTAATAGTTTGCATCTTGACCACATTGCAATTCTAGATTCACGATAATGGTGTGGCACCATACTGGCGTTTAAAATCTCCCGAAGAGCATGAGCAAGAAACATCTAGCAAATCAAAAGAAACGCGAAAATATGTGTTTAACAATTTGGATGACGTCTCGCAAGTATGGATTTTTCATTTGCAAAACGAGTATCATTCAATAAAAATAGCGCAGTGTCGAAGCTTATTTCTTAGCACTGATGGTTTTGAGAGTGCAGAGAAAGGAATTGAAGTACCGAAATACGGTGGTGATACTATCCAAAGTTTTTTTGTAGTTGACTGACAGTACACTTTTTTTGCACTTTCTGATTTGCGAATTAAGGAGAATTTCAGGTAAACATTCCAACAGATCTGGATGATGTTGATAAGGAGTGTGAACAGTTGGATCGTGCTGATTTCGTGAATATTCTGAAGAAAATGCTGAGCATTGATCAGGATAAACGTGTCACACCAGCTGAAGGCCTTCAGCATCCGTTTGTTACGATGGGACATGTTTTCGTTTATGGTCCAACGAAATAGTTTGTCTTACATCCCTCTGAATTCTAAATTTTTAATATTACTGCATTTGATTTAAATATTGTGAAGCGCATTAGCCGGGTGTAGTAAAACAGTAAGATTTCTGAGGAATAATTTGGGCATACTGAAATAGTTTTGAGATATAAGTATGATACATTTGTCAGTTAAATGGTTGCGGTTTTTGTTGTTGAAGTAGATCTGTTGTTATTAATAGTTAGAAGTTTTGATAGAATTTAAGGTACTAGCGTTATTTTAAATCGCGGTGCAGCTGCTAATCCTGTTATGGATTGATTTTCTAATGGGGTGTTACTGGGTGTTACTCGGCTGTTGCTCCGTGAAAGGTTATATCGGAATCTGATAAGTGTTAAATCCTACTAAGTAATACTGAACATTATATATGGCAAAACTTCCCATGACTTACTGTAGGATTTCTCTTTATTTGTGTATACCACTCAAGTCGTTTATTTTTTGCTCCATAATTTCAGTAATCAAATTGCACATCAACGAATGGAAGTGTGTAACCGTAACGGACGTACGGCTGCACATTCGCAACTACTACAGCATCGTAACGTTGCCACGGCGTCGCAGTCATCTGCGCCAACAGCAACGCTTGGTGCATCAGCTCCTATAATCAGTGCACCTGTGGCCGCTGCGGCACCACAAAATGTTGCTCCAACAATACCACAAGTACCACAACTTCAGCAAGCGGAACTTACGCATTTATTGAACCAGTATGGTGCAGCAACTGCGGCAGCAGCTGTTGCCGGTACGCAAAGCTGCAATCTTCCCTTTGTCTATCAGCCTTTAACCGTCTATCCGTATGGTAACTTTTTATACCTATTAACTTTGCTGCTAATTTATCGCATGTATAATTTTTGTTTGCTCCCTTCCATCGAAAAACTGGATAACAACCATATGAGGCTGGAAACGCTTTTTGAAATAACTTCCGTTTTCCTTAATTTATGTTAGGTCTATTCCCCACCATAAAAATGTGTTGCTGGCGTAAATTTCTGAAGTTATTGATTTGTCCAATTTCATTCATTTATTGTTTCTCATAATAACTGCAAAATGTCGTTGCGCTTAAAATATTCTACTTTTCTGTTGTGGTCGTAGCGCAAATAAGCCACTGCTCAATGCTTAAAGCATTTACTGCCTACCTTGGCTATGAATTGCAGGCATATAAACTCTATTGTTCTTGACAATCATTATTTTTGTAATTTTTTAAATTATATTTACTTCCAAAAATGTTTGAAAAAATTCAGAGTTAAAAGCAGTGTATTTATTTGAATGAGAGTAGAGGATTGTAGTTGTAGTTCAGTCACATTTTTTAGTAGGCGAAAACATGTAGAGTTTTGTAATCCGAAATTCAATGTGAAAAATCATCGTAATGAGGTTGGGCATAGAATGACGAATGGAAGATTTCTTGTTCTAGTCACGATTTTTGCTCGCTACAATAAACCAGTTTTTCGCTTCTCTATCTCCTCTCCATGTCCTTTTGCAATAATGCTTTGAGATTATGTTTATTGGATTGATGCAAAAATAATGATTATATTGCAGCTGCCCGTCAAGCTCCATTCGCAGGCTTCATGAACCCACATGCTGCTGCAGCCGCAGCAGCTGGAACTTTGGTACCACAACTTGTTTCGATTCCATTTGTCGATGGTCCAATGCTGGCAACGCAAGCTATCCCTCCGGCTCCAGCGGCGTGGACGCAAGCAGCTACAGCGTCATTGATGCCATGGGCTCTTCCGAATACAACAGCACTTTTTGCTAATGAATTTATCCTACCTGCTCATTTGCAAACGACGCGTAATGTTGCCGCATTGGCTGCAGCGGTGGCAGCGGGCAGTCCTTTTTCGCATCTTCTGGCCCCACAAATCAAAAACTATCCAGATTTAACGAATACGGACCCTGCCGCCATATTTTGGGTATATATTTTTTCTTTAATAAATTTTTTGTAAATTCGTGTGACATTCAGAAGTCGTATATTCTCGTGTACGAAAAAGATAAGTTTTGGCACACTGCATATTTCGAAGAAGTGAATTTTGATATTATTAGGTCCTCTATAAAATATGAAAAGAGAAGAATTCTGTTTGGAGAGAGGAAGGAAGATGGACAAGGAATTCAAGTGATTTCTAATAATGACTGATATTTTTTAAAGAATGATCTTGTCCAGCAACAGCAGGTCCGTGGGCGACAAGCGCCAGCAGCTTCAGCAAATCCCAATGGAACACTACCGACAAGTACTAACCTATCTAATCTACGTATGAGATTAGGCCCAAGTGGTCTTGCGAAAGATCCAGCAATTATAGCAGCTGGACCACGGATGAACAGCACTGCATCAGGTTTAGAAACACCAAAATATCAACTTGAAGGAGCGCGGTAAATTTTTTTTGCTAATATACTGTATTTTTCGTAGGGATATGTAACATTTCGAAGGGTGTGATTCCCGACCACGAGCTTTCTTCCATAAAATCTCATATCTTCTCTGTTTTATAAATTAAAGGTAATGTGACAAGTTAATGTTGCTGTGTCTCTCTCTCTCCGTCTCTCCTCTATCTCTGAATGTTTTCGAGGTTATATTGGTTAACTGCTATTCATCCATGAGATGAAAGATCCTGAATTTAAAAGCTAAGAAATTTGGATGAGTTGTACGTTGTATGTTCAGCAGCGTAGTGATGTGCGATTATCACACTTGGCTCTGTTTATATGAAAACAGAACAGTAGAGATGGCAAATTTTCGTCCAAACTTGTTTCACGATTTAGGAGTTTAAAAAAGGGACAGTCATTTATAACCAATTCATGGGTTTCCGACTGACAAGTGTATACTATTTCCTGCGTATTTGCTCAGTCAATGAAGTTTTATATGCTTCACAAAAAGCCTAATTTTAACCAACACAAAAACAGAGTTTAAAAAAATCGTTAAAACGTTGAATATTATAGGGTTTCAAAAAGTATGAAAGTTAAAAGCACGCCATCACCTGCAATATCAGTAATCACGTTATCGTCAACAGACGAAGACGATGACCAAAATATTGTCGGGTTTGTTGCTTTCCTAAATGTTCGGTCCGTGTAATTTGAGAACGTGATTATATGGGAACCTTTTCGACCACACTGAAAATTTCGTGAATACATATACTACAGTGATTAGAAAAAAAAACCAGTAATTTGAAAAATAAGGAAAAGAAAATTTAAATTCTAAAAATAAATATATTGCTGGGAAGAAAGCTTATGGTCGGCAGTTGAAACTGGGTGTACTTCCTCTTTCTCGTGTTATTTCTTCACTTTACGGGTTCTAAAAAGAGATATCACTTAATAAATGTTACACGAAATACTGTTTTCTTTTGTATTTGTTTGTTCACTGAAATAAAATCGAAAATTATTACTGTCATTACTTCGATTTTTTTTTTCTATTCGTGGACAGAATATATGGAAACAATCGTTTTCTTTTGAATTTTTCTTTCCTTTTTCTCTATGTTGTCGTTTTTCTATATAAACATAGGTTTTATACCTCATTACCATTTCAATTTAGCGATATTTTTATGTGTCGAAATTTTTTCTATTACGAGTGTTGATTTACTATTGGATATATCTAACTTTGGTACTAGGTGATTTCCGTCTACAATTAGGTCGTGTTTTTATGTATCTTTTGTTCAGGTTAAGCAATGAAAATGCGAGCATAGCAAGTTCAATGAGTTCATCGCTTTTGAGCAGCAGTTCATCTGTACTTATTCCACCACCAACAACGGGTGTCGTACGTAAGCCGAGTGCTCGTTGTGCTGTTGTGCGACCAATGATTGATGTAAAACGCGAAGCTGATGATGCAAATAAAACTAATATTCGTAACTTATTTCCTAGCGTGGATTTTGCAACTGCGTAAGTATTGTTACGATTCATGCATGTATGTACTGCTGAATTGTTTACTGTTTCCGAAGTTTTACTACATTTTTTTTGTTTGATAGAATAAAGTTCATCAAAATTAAAGAGAAAAGGTGGATAGGAAAGCATTTACTTCTAGTCCATTTTTCTGCAATGAATGAAAAATAAATTGTGTAGGATTATCAAATTTTCATGAATGAGTAATGTGTTACGTATGAAGTCGTTCTATTTTTTTTTCAGGCTTAATACTACATTTCCACCATATTATGGTCATTGATGAAATAGATTTCGTTTGGAAATATTGAGCCTTCACATTATTCTTTAATTGGAAAGCGATTATCCGGATGCTCTATTTCTTCTCACAAATAAGTTATTATGCTGACCTATGTTTGACTAATAAGTTGCGTTACTACAGAAGAGCTGTAGTGTTCTCAAAAGGTTCGTTTCAAGAAGAGTATATTACATAATGTATCGAAAACTGCCGGAGGTGGTTACCTTTAGTTGATCAAGGGCATAAATTTAGTAGTAATCAGAGGCCACTTTAAAAGCTGCAGGTGCAGTTCGTTTCATTTTATTTAGAATTATTATATTGTGTATGATGGTAAAACACATCGTGCTCACTGCACATCGAATCCCACTGTTCATATCCTCATCCAAGATCTAAGGGTCAGTAAAGTATATTTCTGACAAAACAGCCAGACGACAGCAGAATCATTAAAGAGAAGAAAAAAGGTGAAAGAGGAATAAAGGATAAAGTCATTGTCGTGAAGTGTAGTGCATTTCATTTCCCACACTACCACTAGCGATTTTGCATGTAGAGGTCAGGAATGTCTTTGGGCTGATTCTGAATTTAGATGTAGAAACTGAGGGCAAGTTCCTCATCAACTGTTTGATACCTTACTGACTTATTTTTACTATCGTTATTATTTTCTTTATTTTTATTCTTTTAATTATTATTATCATTATTTTCACTCGCATTCTTCATATTATTATTATTATTATTGATGTTTTTTATAGTAATATTATTAATGTTGTTATTATTTTCATTTTCATTTTTGTTCGCCTTTTCTAAGTGTTCCAGTTATTTGGCAACCAAATGGAAATGTGTAGTGGAATGTTTTCAGTGAACGTTGTTGTTGTAGAGTTTCTTCATTTTCAATGCATTGAATTTGAAAAAGTAGGTTTAAATAATATTTCATATTATTAATATTTATAATTTAATAAGTTTATTTATTTATAGTCTTTTTTTTTAGGGCATTTCTCACTAATAGTTATCTGTATCCTATCATTTATTTGCTTATTATTTGATTGTATATCAAGCTTTATATCTTGGCTTCATATTTGTTTTTGGTGGTTTGATTATTGTTTGTTCCCTTAGATTTTGCGTGTTTCCTGTCAAGCTGTAATTACGGAACGTTGAAAAGTGAAGAGTGTATAGGTGGGTAGTTCTGAATTTTACAGAAAGTGTCGTGCAATGGGTTATTAGCAGTGATGTCCTTTATAGCACGCTAACTTAACGTAAATATCTTGTTCCTTGTACTTACACTCACGGTTAGGATGGTCTACGTTTCAAGAAAAAGTGAGGCTTGTAATAATCTAAGACAATGACATAGTGAGATATCAGTATTTTGCGTAGTGACTGCTTAATAGATGGATTCTTCTGAAGTGTTTTGTCTCACTGAATTTCCTGGAATATAACTTTCTGGTCGTGTCTACCTGGGACGCTTATTGCTTCGTGAATACTGTTTATTTTACCTGTCTTTATTATATGGAAACCTTTTACTCGCTAAAAGTTTTGTGAAAACAGACTTTTCGTTTTTTTGGCGGAAATTGTTCTGGTGAATTGTACTTATTGTGACATTTCATTCAATCTGTACGATTATTTGTTAGGGGAAAGGAATTCGTTTGCGTTGCTTATTTGCTAAAGTCCGATGTAGTTATCTGAAATGCTTAATTTTTGTATCGCTAATATAAGCTGGTTCTCTACAATAAGTTTGCGATTGCGTCTTGCTCATCTGAGGATTTATGAAAATTGCAAGGCATCTTGAAGGCTGTATTTGATAGTTGGTGATTTTTCTGTATGTATATAATCAGTTTTTCATAACTTTTCTTGTTGAAACACCTTTTTCCTTTACTTTAACCAGTGTAGATGGACTCATACATGGTTGGAGTGTTTAAAACTTCTCGTTCCCGATTTCTTCATTGACAACAAATGCATAATCATACGCAGCAAACCTTTCGTCACTGAAACTAGATGGAATTGTCTTGGTGATAAGGAAATATGATTCTTTGAAATTTGATGAGAACAAATCTTGATTTTCTTATATGTGTTTGAGGCCAATGGAACGTTTTCAGTAGCTTAATCGTGAGAATTATGTAACGGCGAGTGGCGCTATACGTTTGTTCTACCAATGGTTTAGGATAAGTCATTCATACAGTTGCTGTATTTCTGTTTCATGCAGTTGTAATTGATACGATACCTATTTATGAAAGTCGAAGAGATTTCACCTGGAAAGATGACAGTATGCAAACACGCTATGCTTAATTCAGCAGTAAATTGGCATATGAGAATTTCTACTTTTCAGTTTAGCGCATCCTTATTGTACTGCTCTTTTAGACTCGAAAATAGATATTATTTTGCTCAAGTGAGGTACATGTGCTCCATGCTGCCAACAAGATATCGGTCCTGTTGTGCGGGGACTTGTGTTAGAATTGTGCACAAACAGCATTTCTTGGGAAAAGTTTTTATAGAATTGTAATAAAACAAAAAAAGAACAGAAATGGAACAGAGGCGCGAACAAATGAAAAATGCCAAGCACAGTTCGCTGGAATGAAAGAACACCAAGAAGTATCGGGGGAGGCAGACAAAGCAACAGGTGTCAAAAGAACTCGAATAAGGTAATAGCTACTGTATGTGGGAAACGTGAAATTCAGCGCAAACGAACTTTGACTAGGCACCATAATCACTGTGATATCACCTTAGTAGTGTGGCTGTCGCTATTGCTGCACATTTGTCAAAACTCAAAAAATACTTAAGGGTAATGCAATGTAGATGACACTGCTATACAGAGATGCGTGTACAAAATTTCTATATTAAAACTGCAGCATAGCACTAAAATTTGAGAGTCGGTTAATTTAACAAACCGAGGATCAATCTTCATTTCCCGGATACTTCTTTAATAAAATAGCCTTTATAGAAAATAAGAAAGATATAGAGGGTGTGAAAATTAAGTACAAAAAAACTAAGTGTCCTTCCCAAATTGCAAAATAATTACGATAGAAACTTATAAAGATAGCAACTAGCTGAATTCGATAAACAGAGAGTTTCAACCTCCTGAAAGCAAAAAATAAACCGACATAATAATGACCAGAAGTGGGATAAACATCCATAAAAGCAAAAAACCGGAGACAAGAACGGATGAACATCGATCACAAGAAAAAGAGGGGAAAATATTCGCAAAAGAACAAACAGAACACAGCATTAGCATATCACAGAAAGTAGTGTTACAATTATCCCACTGGAGCCTTTACCACCTTTCATCAAATACTAATAATAGCACTACTGAAAGAATTAACGATTGAATTAAATTTCACCAGAAACATTTTGATTATGTTTAACATTTTGTGCAAATAATGATTAAATCACCTGAGTCTTGAGAATTTAAACACACAAACAGATTACACAAATTTATACGAAAAAAAATATGCGAATTTAACTTCCTCGAGACTAGTTTTGGGAACTCACTCTTTATGTTATAGAGCAGATTATTTAATAGAATTTTCAAGCTGAGAAATAATAAAAAGAATACTAGACTTATTCAGACTTATTCCAATAGTGTAATCCCAAGTCATAACTTTCACCATTAATTAATCGGTCCTCTGCCTTATTTATCCAAGAGAAGCTCTGAATTTTTTTAGACCTTCATGATGAAAAAAAAAGAAAACGAAACAATAAGTTCTTCGAATAAGAAAAGTTTATGAATTTACGAAAAACCGCATTTTATGAATTAAAGTCCTCGTAACAGAAAAAGAGTGAATTAAATTCGAAATTTGCTCAAGTTACTACTATCTCTGTTATAATAGTACTGCCTCATAAACTACCACACTCTTCTACTTCCAGAACTACTTTGTTTGTTTGAAATTTTCACCTCTCACGGTTTCTGGATACCTTTTTTAATGAGCGACATGCGCTGACGATGTGCTTCGGTTGCCGGAGATTTTACATACGGATTACGATCAGCTGATTGGACGCCACCAACGGAACCAGTCGGCAAGAATATCTTATATCGCCTTTCCAATACGTATTGCACATCTTTCGTTTCAACTTTCTGCGCACTCCTATCGAGAAAAATATTTGGTTTGAAACAGATACAGCAAAGTTTCAATCAATTCCGAAATGGACAAATTAAGATCTTCATGTAAAGATAAAATTTTAAATTCTCTTCTTATCCAGGAAGCCAGCACTGCCTATCACAACAAAATTTAGGTAAATTAATGACCTATGCTTAGCAACACGTGCCGTTTGTTCAATCACATCATCAACGAATTCTTCAACCAGCTGCAATAACGCATCAGAAACATCATCTTCCACTGCTTCCAGAGGATCCACTGTTTTAATAAGAGCTTCCATGGCATCCTAATAATTGGGAAATAATTCCTACATCGAAAAGAGCCAAAGACACGATTATGATGAATTAGTAAGAAAAATAGAAATCATGCTCCCTTAAGTTGTTTTTTTCTGGCTGTGGAAATGAAAAAAAAAAAGGAAAAAACTTTCTGGTGCTCCGTTCCACCATACTGAAAGTAGACACTGAAACAGCAGTTATTGGCGATACAACAAGGAAATATTTCTTGGTTATCAAAATACAGTCCAATTCTCAAAAAAAAAAGAACCTTTTCTAGTAATTTCATGTTAGTCGGCGGCAGAGGGTGCGACTCAGCTGCAGAATGTACAGGTACAGGTGTTACAGCAGGTGGAAGATGGCCCAAGGCTTGTCGTATTGCAGAAGATTGCCCAATAACACGTGGTGCATTTACTGAACGTTGTATTGGTGAACGATCTGAAGTTTTCAGCACATTAAAACGACTCTGTGGTAATGGTAGCACAAAACAGTTTTAACATTCAAAATATTCATTAAGTGATAAATTGGGTTCAAAGTTTGACAACAAATATAATGATATTCTGAAAAAAAAAATATACATATGGGGGGAGTTCCGTGCTGCATATTTTCTGGACTTGGAGTTGGATAACGTGTCATTGTTGATCGATGTGGAGAAAGCTGCTGATAATTTGGATTCGGAGTATGCATATGAGATTGACCTGGATGAGCAAATCCTGGACTGTGGCCAATACTTTGCTGGGCATTTAATGAATGTTGTCCCTGACTTTGCTGTTGCAAAATTTGCGTCGAAGTCATCATTCGATGTTGTTGAGTTTGTTGTTGTTGGGTCTGCTGCTGTTGTTGTTGTAGTGACTGTTGTGGTTGGTGCTGTGGTCCTAAATGTGGCGCTGTTGGTGGAGCCATTTGATGAGGTGTTGGCTGTTGCTGCTGCACTTGGGTAACCATGGTTGAAAGCATCTGCTGCTGACCCATTGATGTGACAAGAATTTGTGTTTGCATCTGCTGCGGCGATATTTGTCCTGTTGCAATCATCTGATGTTGCGCCTGCATCATAACACCTTGTGCAGCACCTGCAAAGAACATTCTAGAAATATGAAAAAATTACAACTAAAAGCACACTGATAACAATAGAAACGATTTAAATGAAATGAATTCGACGACAAAGTTAAGTAATGTTCATGCACGACCATTTCAAACGTGCTGTTACCAGCGTTCGCTGAAACATAATGTATTAAAAACAGCGATTAGGTATGCTTAACTACGGCCCATATAAAAGTCCATTTTTGAACAGAGCTCTGCAATTCGTAAAAACGGCTTTATGAATATGGAGAGCATATTTTTCTCAAACTTTGTTTCGTACCAAAACAGAGAAATAAGTTTAAATTACTGATACAAATGACGTAAAAACAGAAAGGGCTGGAACACCATAAATTACCTGCTTGTTGCATTTGCCCCTGATGATTCATGATAGCTACACCCTGTTGCGAGATCATTTGTGGTGGACCCATCGACGCCATTTGTACCTGCATACTTGTACCTATAATATGCTGTCAATAATGTGCTGATAAGCAGTAATTATAAAGAACTAAAGCGTAACCAAAAGCCAACTTCTCGCTAATACAGAATTGACTGCTTAGAAAAGTGGAACAGTGGAACAATTTTTCCTGAGAATGAGTTGAATGAGAGATTTAAAAAAAAATTACACTATATAAAATATGATTAAAAAATTACTAATTCCATTGGCAGCTCAAAATACAGAGAGGGTGAAAAACAGCGTAAATCTACGAAGTCATCGAGCCTACTGGGAAATTTCGATCATTCTGTACAATATATGTTCTGGAAATAGTACGACTGCACACCAAATAAGACAAAGCACCAGCATCTCCAGAAGACTTATGATTCTAAACACCAACCACTTTATATAATGAACCTAGTAGTGTTTAAAAAATAAAAATAGTAAACAAATGAATAAAAGCAAAAATCAGACAAGAGAACATTTTTATCCATGCTAAAATCCGTTCCATGTATAGCCCCACAAAAATTCTCCATTTCTAAGATAACTAATGTAGCAGGCGTGATTTCGACATTTCAAAACATTTGAACAAAAAAATAAGAGGAATTTCTTACACGGTGGCATATGGATTGGCTGGCTGGCTTGCATCATCATTTGTTGCTGGGGAAGTATTTGTCCAGATTGAATCATATGTGCTTGTCGCTTAAAAAAGTTCATACAAAAATTCTGTTTAACGTTGTAAAATGCAGGTTTCACTTGAAGAATTCCTTCATCTCGTGCACCTATGGTTTTTTTCACCGCTAAAAAACTTTCTCTCGATAATAATAATGAATGAAAATGAATCAGAAATGCAATTAATGAGAAAATAATCGGACTTGTCACATCGTTCATCCATTCAGAAGTATGTCGTATTTACTCAACATTGATAATAGTAGGTGTTGTGAATTCCTAACTTGAACAATTATCCAACCATTCCGGAGAGATCCCACTGGGAATAAAACTAACTGGTTAATGCAATAAACAATCTATAGGGAATTCTTTCAACATCTGGAACACATAACCTAATATACGATCTTCCGATCATACCTACACCATTTCACAGCATATTCCATAAGATGACCAGATCAGATTCACATGAAAGTGAAAGAAAATATCACAGACCGGTTGTTGAGGTGACGAATGAATTCGCTGCATGCCAGCTGGTGAATGGCTTATGTCCACCGTGTATTGCTGAGCCATTATTTGGCCGTTGTAATCGCTCATCACCTATAAATAAATGTGCTAATCCGACTTGAGAAATATACTGATCTAAGGAGATATGATACAGTATGATATATCCAGCTCCAGATCAACGCCAAGTACGTCTACGTCTACATGCTACGAAGCCTGATAGGCTTTAGTGATATGACGACTAAATGGAAAACAGAAATAAACCATACTTGTTAGAAGCTAGACTTAATACCTGTTTCTAATGTCAACTCACCCATCCCATATCTCCTTTAGATTCTGAGTGTAATTTTTCCTCACCACCTACATCTCTACCCTCTCTCAAGGATTAAAACTTCATATGTTTAACAATAACTTCTAATTTTATGTCTACATAAAACACATGACCCCATCCTGGATGATCATCCAACAAACTCCGACGTGCATTACAGAATTTTACGAAAGTTGCGTTCAAGTTACTCAATTTACATTAGTGACTGTCAAAGTTACCGGTGCCACTATATGAACTGATACAGTTATCTCTTTGCTTGAAACTATGAAAAATATGTGACAATGTATCCTTCTATTACGAACTCCTGCTATAGAAAAACTTGACAAATATCCCCAAAGATCTATGGTCGCAACAATAATTATTTTTTCTACATCTTTCTATCACTCTCACTAAATTGGTGCATCATGAAAAGCGTGTGAACTGATCGAAAATGAATTTTGAAGCATCCGTTTCATAAACTGTGTTTATTGAGTCATGCGGTTAATAGACAAATATCCTGAATTGCCTTACCACATTTATTAGCTTCCATACGATTATTGAAACAACCGAACTATCGGGTCATTCCTATTAGTACATTCCCCGATGAGTTAAAAAACGGTAAATCGAACACCACCGAATAACATTACACCCCTCCGACAATGCATATGTTACTGTAATGGAACCGAATCCCAGAACAACGACTGCTGTTCAGATCTACCTGTAAAGGGTAGGAGGCTACGAAGGGTAGAAAATCATCGCAAGACCACCGCTGTCGTAAACGCGATTGTACAACAGCGGAATACTCCAATAGAAGAAAGATAGTCGCATGATCTGGAAATGGATCTACGCCTGAAACAGAAGCTGTTCACTATTTTTGCTCCGCATTGATCTACGTCTTATCCTTCCAGATTATCTGCATTTGGCTTTATTCAAACATGCGTAAAAACTGTGACAGGTAGTTTTAGTGAGGAACTGACTTTTGCTATTCTTTGCTCCGAAAGTTGCTGTAATTTCATGTGATACTTTAATAAAATTTTTGTATAGACGAAACAAATCGATGTGATTAACATCATTTTGGATTCTATAGGACGTTAGAAACAAAAAGTTGGATCAATTATTTATTATTATGAAGTAGAAGCAATTTCAGGGTTATGTCTTTTTTTTTGGGGATGAAGTGTTGTAAATTTGGCTGGTTGATCAGTTGCTGTCAAACAGAATGCGAAATTCGCTACGAGTAATGATACGGACAGAATTATGAAAATAATTCGCCACTGTTCCTGAAAATAAAGAAGTATGCGTTATAATATAATAGTATGCGTTATAATAGTAGCTGTTAAGATATCTCTCGTCGTTTATGGGCAGATATTATCCAGTGATGACGTAATTGTGTGCCCAAACATGTCCACACTTCGAAATCTCGAGGAAGGTTTATGACGTTAATCGCCAAACTTTCCGTTTAATTGATTCAAGGCTAGGATGGCTGGGATGGACCAAAATATTCGTTCCCATTTGTTGGAAATATAAAATGTTCAACATGAAAAAAAAATACTATCACTTGCTTATAACCATGTATTTGGTTATAAGCAAAAAATACGATCATCATTTTTTGATAGAAACAGTATGTTTGGTGTAGAAGCCTAACGTAAGGTACTATCTGATATAACAGAACCGTATGTTAACATTGGAGATAATGTAATGGATATCAGGCAGTGTCCAGATAATACCGCTAGAAAGCATGAAGTAACTGTATTTACCTGTGCCGAATCATCAGTAACAAATATTGTAACCAGCAATGGTGATATAAGCAATGCAACACATTTGATGAATTGTATATTTGAGATAACGAAATGACTATGCTGTCTGAAATTAATCGAAATTCAATTAAGTACCGAGCATTATTATAACTACATTATCTGGCATAATAATTACTATTTCTTGACGCTGCAAGGCAAGCCGGGTTTGGCTTACCATCAGCCTTCCGGAAACAGTTTTTATCACCAGCAATCAAGCCGTCCTATAGAAATAGATCTATTGGTCGAACTGCTCGCGAATTTATATCATTTTATCTTCATCGACCAGTAGCAATATCTTCTCAACTTCTTCACACATTTTAGAACATATACCGCTCTCTGTTAGTACTGCTTACTCGTTTAGAATTTGGCGCAATTAGTAGCTTAGGCAAAATTCACTCGAAATCATATTTGCGAAACTCATGCGATTTTTGGGATCAAGAAATTGCTGAAATCCTTTTTTTGCCAAATTCAAAATAAGTCAAACGCAAATTAGCTTTACTGGCTTACCGAGCTACAAAAGTACTACATTTATAGAATCCGCCAACATTAAATGCGATAAGAGCATGAATTGCTGCTATGGCAAATACAGATAATGAAGTATTTTCAGGTGGGACAAAACCAATTATGCAAAGAAATACGCTGGCTCCAACTAATGACAGCGTATTGAAGAAAATCAGTTTCTGGCGCTCGTTCATGCATCTGAAAATTCAAGAGTAATTAGTAATAAAAAAAGTCAAGTTGCAGCGACGGATCAAGAATTATTTCTGACAGATTAACTTCGTAAATTTATCCTTAATAAATTAATGTGGTGGAAGATTGGATTGAGAACGAATTCAATACAGTCAGCTGGCATACTTGATCTGATCACTCATGAAGCCAGCAGTAATTCGAAATGATAGAAAAGATAATCCTTGGAGAGCAACCAAAAATCCTGTGCCTTCAACGCTAAAAAAATCATGAAAGAATAATTTCTATTTTTGGATATTTGAAATGCATTCTAAACAAATGAAAATTTCGATAAAGATTTTCCTATTAAACATATGTTTTTAAAAAAAAAAAAACAAAAAAACCTGATATTCAAAACGTATTTGATATAAGTAGGCCCATAGGATAACAAAAATAAAGCGGCAACAAGTTCAACAAAAGCATTGAGCCAAATAATTAGTACTGCTGGATTTTTTATTATAGCCTGAAATCAATTCAAATCTTCACGGTTTTTTTCTTGAATTATCATTCCCCAACTGTCATCTTCAATCTCTGCAAGATGATAGATTGTTTAAGCGATTATCTGCTTTCTTTCTCCCTTTCTCCCTCTCTCTACTAGGCCAAGATCTTGATGTTTCAAAGTTGGAACAAAATCCTGATGTTTCAAAATTTGCACAGGAAATTTGTTACCCAATATGGCACATATTTTTCACTGCTGATGTACCCTTCCGATTTCTCTCGGCGAATCTTTTCTAACTCAATGCCTGAAGAATATAATTTTTTGAATCCATAATGTTTTAGCAGAGCATTAAGAATGGCTTTTTTCAACACATATACTTATGGATAAAAATCGTTTAATGATGAAAGAAAAATGTACCGGCAAAATAATTTGGAAGAATCGAGTTTTAAATTAACCTGAAACACTTTTGTGCATTTCTGGTTGATCCCGATAAAATAATATCCAAATGGTGAATATAAATATGCCAAATGCTGCATGTGCATAATATACAGCTGGCCAACCAAGCGATGATTCACAAAGCTTAATCATTGCAAAATTTTAAAACAAATTGTAATGAAAACTCTGAAGTGATGAATTCTTTCCTTATTATTTCGAAATTGAAAATATCTCAGAATGAAAATAAGACGAACCAAACCAGAAATAGGATTTGTGATAAGTGTCGCAAGGCTGTTAAAGCTTGTTAGCACAGCAATAAATAAGCCACTTTGCTTTAGTGATGCCCAACGTACGGTAATTATGCCAACTGCTGCGAAATCAGCGCCATATGCTACTCCCTAAACAGATCTAGGAAGATAATACGCTTTTATCATTTATTTTCGATTATTTCATGCGTAGTAATTTTACTATAAAGATGTTTCGATCTTTACTAATTTTATGTGCAGCCCTGTACCTCAACGTAAGATCGCATATTGTTAATTTCAGCTAATAAATATTACTTGCTAACTAAAAAAATAAAGAATGAAATTATCAAACTATAAATAAAAATAAATATCTAAATTTAAAAGTGACGTTTTTCGCGAAAAACTTAAGACGTGATGACAAAAAGCATTCACATGGACTTTTGTAATCGTGAAAAACTTTGAATCATATATATATATATATATATGATTCAAAGTATATATATATATCCAAAAGAACCTAAGAATAGTTTAAACCAATCAGTTGATTCGACTGAATAGTTAATCGCTTTGAATCATAAATTATTGGTAGTTAACATATGTTCGCCGTATGATCATTATGCATATATATATGAGATGTACATTAGTAAACGATTGAATACTCCAATGTTGATGATATTTAAAACAATTATAATATGATATAAAATAGATAAACCTGAAAGATTCTGGCGCCAACGAACCATATAAGGCCCATATAGGCTGTAAAAGGTATGATAAGCGTGGAAAAAGCGGATAATAAGCCAGCAGTAAAGAAAACATATCGTGCACCAAATTGAAGATAAAAATAATTAAAAGGCCAAACTCCGATGAAGGTGCCAAGACCGACAGCCCAAAGCAATACTGATTTTTCTTTCTGTTCATAATAAAGTGCTGTGAAGCGGCCGGAATCCTGCATAATCACTAATTATCATCAATTTGACGATTTGATCAATTAGCAAGTAACAATAATATCCCTTTATAGTTACTAGCTTAAATTATATCGATTTAATTTGTGAAATATCATAAGATATCTTTATATCCTTTCGAAATGAACATTTTGCATTATCGATTCTTTCCACATATCCTTCATATTCACTTTTTTCGATCATCATTTCAACTTAATATGTATAGCAGAGCGAAGTGTATTTATGAAAATTCATAAGTTTCATTTATATACCAACATAATTATAATTATTTTGAAGTAATGCTTGTGATTGAAAGAGATAAATAGGAAAAAACAGTTTTTTATAAAATTTTTATTTAAGCTGAAATTTTTATTTAATTAAAAATTTCCTATTTAATTTCTATTTTTTTTCCACCCAGACTTATCGTTGATATCCTGACTATCCTAAACTTATTCTTGGCCTCTAAAGATCTTATTTTTTCTTGTTAGTTATCTAATACAATTAATGCCTTATTCATCGTTACGAATGTAAAAATCATAAATTATACATCATTATATAATTCAATGAGACTTTGCAATTTGATTTTTAAAAAAATCTGAATTCAGAAAGATAAGTGATACTTCTTTAAGTGGTAGTAAATATTCTTTTCCGATGGATTACCTATACTTGATCAATTTGTTAAATTAACTTTGAATGATATGATAAATCGAAAAAAAGTAAAGACTATAGGAATATGTCAAAGCATACGACGACATTGTTTTCTGTTTGATTATTCGAGACAGGCTTTGTCATACATATAAATGTGAAATTCAACGCAATTGTGTTGGAAAATATTGAAGTTAGGCAAATGCAGCTAAGCAACAAAATAATATAACGTGTTCGATGTTCGAATAAACCACCCTCATGTCTCGCCATTACTATCCGGAATTCTGAAATACACTGAATGTTTATCAAAAGTTTTGTGTTATTTCTGGAAATTTGTCGTAGTTTATCCGTTTTGCTGAATTTTCAAAGAATTATTTTCTCATTAATATAATACTATTGTTTATTTTTATCAATCCAAATATTTCGTTCAGTTTTCAGCTTAAAATATTTCCGTGTCAGTTTGTTGATTCGAAAAATGATTCAAATGGTTTTTTTCTTACGAAATTTTAAAAACCCCAAAAAGATATAACTTTTATGATAAACAATAAATAATCAAGTATTACTTTTAATCCAAATGATCATTCAATCTGATCTTTCTGATATAAAATTTGAAATCGCATGATTACATTAAAACAAAATATTTTACTCGAAACAAAAAACGTAAAATTTATTACATTACTCACAACTGTCCTTACAAAGAAATTTGTTTTGACAGGTGATATATAGGCTCTCTTTGACAGTATATGGATAGTTAAGGCGTTTAACGGATGCCCAATAAAATTTGTCAAAGAACTTGTCAAAGAACTTCCCGTAACAACTGTAGACAGAAGGAAATTGATATAATAGAGATAAATTCAGAAGTTGCAATGCGAAATGATTGCTCTTTTTTGCCTATCATTTATATAATTTCAGACATTAATAGTGATTTGCACCTTAAAACCAGTTTTCAGGTGGTAAATCCCAAAAAAAAAAATCATTACATGAAATTGTAAGTTTTCTTTTTACTTATTTTTTATTTCAAAATTACCAGATGTTTGATTCATTAAACTATTCATTTTATTTTATGAAATTCAGCTCAATAATATGTAATATGTTCTTTTGTTATAACATGTTATTTGTTATATATTATTAAGCCGAATTTCATAAAATAAAATGAATGATTCAACGAATCAAACATCATCTGCAAATATCATCAGTATCACTGAAACGGTATCAATCCGATATTATGAGTGTTAAGTCGAACTAATTATAACAGTATTTCGAATAAGCGCTTAATTTTAATGATACCGTCCCATGATTCTCGAATCTCTGTTACATTTCATCAGCTCTTTCAATGAAGCAATTATGCACTGAACGATAAGCTGTCAGTTATATTTATTTTTATAAAACCTAAATTATGATGATTAATGTCACGCTATATCCTCATGAATCGATTAGTTATAAATGTCTAGTACACAGCCTAAAATGATGCAAAAGTGATTTATTATTTTTTCACCTAATTGAGCATTAGTTAGTTGCCTTTCTATCAATCCTCCTGTGCAACAAATATTAATTAATTTTAATAAAATTACAACGGTACACTTCGAATATATGAAATAGAAAGATTGTTACAATTTTGGGACAACTTATGAAATGAAAGTTCAATTCTCGAAATTATCAATGAAAGAAAAAAAGGAAGCATCATATACATCACATACAAAATACTTCGAAGAATTTTTACATTTACGCTTTTGCTCCAAACATGCATTTATTTTAAAGGAAAAAAATATTATGCTAAAGCATTGATTGGATGTAATGAATCTTTCATTTCTCTTTCCTAATTTCTCTTTTTATTTAACAAAATTTCAAATATTTAATCGAGGATACTGTATCGGAAAATAGAGGAATCGTAAATGTTCAATAATGATACAGATATTTTAACATTATCAAGCAAGCCGAGAATATATTTATTAAATTTAAAACAAAAAACAAAAAACAAAAAAAAAAGGAAAAGATCGCTTTATCGCCGATTCATTTAGAAATGTAAGCCATTTTTTCTTCCCTTTTTAATATTACAAGTAAAAGTGAAATTTAATTTTGCAAATAAAAGCATAACAATAAATCATATTTATGAGAAATTTTGCAATAACGAAAATTTTTTTTAAAACGTTTCTTTTTATAAATATCAGAGAGTACAACGTGCATATACATATACGTGCGTGCGTATGTATGTGTGTGCGTGTGTGTGCGTGTGTGTGCGTGTGTGCGTGTGTGTGTGCGTGTGTGCGTGTGTGTGCGTGTNTGTCAACTATTCCTCTCCTCTTTTAAACTTTTATTTTCAACTTCTCTCTTGCCCGTCTTCTCTTAAATAATTTCTTATTCTTAACCTTTCTCTTACTCTTCTGTCATATGTTATATATGTATGTGTGTATGTGTGTGTGTGCGTGTGTGCGTGTGTGTGTGCGTGTGTGTGCGTGTGTGTGCGTGTGTGTGTGTGTGCGTTCTATCCATTGCACTTTTCCTACCAGTTATTACATTTCATTTTTATATGCAATCAGTTGTTATTTGGTATGTATTCATCCAAACTTTGATATATATTTTTTCTATTCCTAAAACTTGCTCATCTCATTTTCTTTTTGTTTCGAGTTTTTATTAAATTTATGCATGAAATAATAACAACTTCGATTTACTTATTATCTTAATGAAAAGTGAATATGATAATAATGGATTACATAAGGGAAAAATGAATGTCTGGAAAAGTTTGAAATTTTCACCGGAAAAAGATGTCATTTTAATTAAAAAAAAATTTTCAGCAATTATCTCAATTAGTGAAATATCTGAACAATTTGGTTTATTTGGTTTAGAGGTTTAAAATGAAAATACGAGCTGAAAAGCGAATAGATGCTATGAACATGAATATAATAAAGTCATCAAACTAATACCAAAACTTAAAAATAATACTCATTCCGTAATTCGCCTATTGTTTTAAGCCTCTGTTGATTTTAGTATTGTAAAAAAATTGTAAAAAAAAAAGCATATGCACTCTACCGTAACACATTAAACTCTATTTTGATTCAATTTCAGCTAATTAAAAAACAACAAAATATATATATATATATATTTTTTTTAATAAATATATATATATTTTGAATCTTAATTTGTATTTTCTCATAGATAATAGCTTATTGTATTTAAGTTTTTAGACATTTCAAAAGAAAAAAAACAAAAACGTTGAAATGGAATAAAATGCTGAACAATATTAGCTTAAACAAAATTATTTATCAACAAACAAAACCAATTTGTATATTATTTATTTAAGTATAACAACGACCACTGAACAAAACGCTTTCACTCGCCGAAGCAACCCATTGCAATGGTTAATTATGAGAAAAAGTATTAAAATACAATTTTTAATTTTCAAAACAAAATAGGAAATGTATGGAACAAGTTGATATCATTAAATATTATCAACCTTTCCTATTTCTTCAACACCCGAAATGTCCCGTTAAATTTTTAAACTATATGATACACATAAATGTTTAAATTGCCGACATTTCCATTCGATATCATTAATCGTATTTTCATATGCTTATTACCAAGCTATGCATTAATAGTTGTACCATAATCATTATTTATCATTTTCTTATCCTTTCATTTTAGTCTTACTAAAATGAAATAATTTTTGTTAGGGATGTTAATTAAAATTATTATTCAATATAAGCAAACACATGAATTTCTATCAGATCAGGTGGTTAATTGATTTTTATAATCAAATTATTTTGTTCTAATTAAACAGAATAATATAGTAATTTGAAAGTTATTTATCATTCTTTGGATATTACAGCATTTCAAACAAAATCAAGTTTTTCTTCCCTTCCTTCCTTCTATATGATGTAACAACAGTAGTGTTTTACTCTTGACGTACAAATAATTGTAAGTACAATAGTAATGATAGTTTTTATCTTGACTGGAAAATTATAAATAAGTTGATCTATTGTAGAAATAAATTTTTTTCAATATACGCTTTATCCTAATTAGAACGACGCATTCAAATTCCTGAAAAGAAAATGAATAAATAAAAAGAAAGATTCGTCGCAATGAATCAACTTAGTTTTGAAAACCTTTAAAACAGCATTTTTGAATCAGTAAGAAAACTTACACGCTATAAGTATACACCCGCAACTTACAAGCTAATTAGCAGTCATCATTAAGTATTTCCAATTTAATTCAGGTCAATTTGATATTGTCAACATATTTGGAAAATCAATGTTAAAGTTAAGCGAATTTCTTCTATTCTTTTGACATATCAATGAACAGAAGGAAATAACAACTCTGTCGTTCATCCAGAATATTATATGGAGGTATGTTATTAGTTTTCTGCGACTTCCACTGAAATGTACATAAAATCTTAGAATATCTAAAGTACTACCCGGCCGATTTCAAAGATTACGATGATGTTTTCTTATTACAAAGCATTCATTATTGGCAAATAGTTCAAAATGCGCTATGCTCTTAATTTTTTATTCGCCTGTTTCGAATCTTTTGTTGAAATTCGAATCTAAAATTGAAATCTGGAACTATTGGACAGATTTCAATCATGAAGCCGGTGGTATCTTCTTATAAGTATAAGCATAATAAGCTAGGCAAAACCCATAAAATAAGCACAATCCAACGGATGAGGCAGCAATGAGAAAGTTGGATTTTGAAGACTGCTGCTCTCTATTATATACAACGCGAGAAGTTTCAGCAGCCCACTAAAACTGTAAATTCCGAAAAGTTTTGCAAGCAAGGAATGAAAAAAGATGCCATCACCTCAACCACAGATAGTTAATACGGTTTTTCAGATTTAAATAGGTTTTCAAATTAGGTTAAAGATCATTCCACAATAACGGCAGTCCAAGACGAATAAAACAAGGAAAAATTTCTTCCTTCTTTCAGTTGAAATTATCCATGCTTGAGTCATACTTTTTCTAAATTGATTTCCGCAGACACCACAATACTCTCATCCAGAAATATGTACCGCAAATAGTGCAGCCAGGTTACCAAGCACGACAAAGATTGATTGCAGCAATATATTTGGGACAGTTTCTTTGGATATATGTGTATATCCAGTTTTGGTAGAGCTTTTTCCCGAATACAATTGCATGATTGATTTTGTGGATTTGCAACGTCAGCCGCAGAAAAGCACAGCTTTGACGACTTAAACTTATTTCTTCTTTTTTGCAAAATAAGTCGATCCGGCAACACTTACCAGTGAATAATGGGCTCAATGTTTAGACTTATTTAAAGTGCCAACTTAAGAGTGATTTGAAATAATGGAACTTCTGTCAAACAATATTGCTCTATCGGCTTGTTGTTTGGTTTAAATTACTTAAATTGCAGTTCAAGAGAAAGGTTATACAGTGTTAAAAAAAATCTCTTGACAGATAAAATTCTAGAAATTAATTTCTTTCTGGTTCTCGCTCAAAATTCTTGATAAAAATAAAACATTAAGCCGCACGATAATTGTTGATCTGAGTCACACGAAAATGCTTAAGCACTGTGCATGAAGTTGAAAACTAGGATGAAAAAAACGTTCTATTATAAACAGATTAAAGAACAGTACAAAATTTTTTTTGGATTAACGCGGATACAAATTCGGAGAAAAAAGTCATAAAATATGAGAGAACTTCAAAGGAATGATATAATAAAAGGCATTGCAGTAACATAAAATTCATAACGAGAACAACAAACTTAGAATAATACTTAGCATTGTTCAGGAGAGGAAAACTTTTTTTTTTAAATGCTTAAACTAGAAGATGTCATAATCAAATGGATGGCCAGTTGTTCCAATCAGCAATTATCAATAACTCCTCTCCACAGTATGATCTTCATGGCTTCATCATCAATAAGTCCTTCAAAGCTTTATTCTCTCGCGTTAATTCCAAGTATTTTTTCTTCAGCTCATAATTTTCTTTTTTCAAATTCAGCTTCTCAACGGCAGACTCAAGTTCCTTCTTCTCCAAGGCCAAATTATCCAAATAAGCTTTGTGCAGCTAAATATGTGATTTAGGATTAAAACTATTTTCTCTACACTCATACGAAAGTTTCACTTTTACTACTGCATTGCATTATAAATAACAAACAGCGAAGAGAAAGACAAATCCAAATATTACTTACTGACAATAATGAGGTTTCATAATTTTTAACTTTTTTATTTGGAAGTATTGAAAACAGCCTAATTTTACTCAGTTTTAAAGACAAGAGGAGAAATACCTTTCGTAGAATGTCACGATAATTCGCCAACTTTTTCGCAGTGTCTGAAGTATTACCCGAAGTGTCATCGAAATGAAGTAGTGACACAATATCCGCCATTTCTGATGGCTGATGACATTCAGGACAAGAAGTCCAACCCTAAATTTAAAAAAAAATTGACGATACCATACAAATTCTGACAATAGCTCGCCAGAAATGAAGGGAAGTCTAAGGAGGGATCAGTTATACAAAATTATAGTATTTTCCTTTCTTGGCTAGGAGGACTTCAAGCCTGTTCTCACCAAATTATTCTTCCTTCAGCTCTTATTTTACATAAAATATATTAACGAAATGCCGAAATTTCAAGAAAAATACGAGAAAGCTCACATATACGAAGAAGTACATGATGCACATGAAGTGAAACAGGTGTCCACAACGAAGAGCTGAAATATCATCTGGGGAAATACATTCCCTACAAATCGCACAACATACGAATAATCTGCAATACACTTAGCAATGTCATTAGTGTTTAATTTTCAGCCTGAGATCTATGTCCCAAACATTACAAAATCAAAACTTGAAATTCGTAGTCGAAAAATTACTGCGATGTTCCGCACAACTTTGGTCATAAACAAAGAGCAGATACCTTTTTGCATCAGATCTACCCGGTACATCTAATGCGTTGGAGCTAGCGGATTCACCTACCATGATGAACAGTCGGTTGATAAACTAGGTTGACTGAAATGAAAATAATAAGTGGAGTTAGAAACAAAACACGATCCCTATAACGATTAAATTAACTAAAAGAAAATGAAATCTCTGTGTCAAACTGCTATCATCACATCGCTCTTGTAACCAGAAACTCGCAAATCATCAGATATAGTACGAAGAGACGGATATGATGACTTGCAAAATTTACTCCTCTTTTTCGAATGCTTGAGCTAGATTTTCACTTCTCTGAATTGCCTGGATAGCAATGACAAAGTCATGTGGCAGATAAACTGATTGCATTCCTTTCCCCAAAATAATCACAATACACTTGTTACCTGACAATGGTTTTAAGAAACATCACCTTCTTTTCGTCCTCTCCCACTCCTCTTATCCCTCAAGTAATTCTGTAAAAACCAACCCACACGCCGACAGTTTGAAAATGACAATAACTGAATAGATTTCCAAAATCTTCAGGTTAAATAAATGAAATATTAGAAGCAACCTCCTGCTAAGATCAAGCAACCGTGATAATCACGTTAACGAATGGGAACTATACAACACGAGGGCTGGAATTGGAATTGCCGCTCTATTCAAAAGACCAGAAAGTACGGACATTGGTCGTGCGCACTGTCTCTCTAACAGATGGTTGCTGCCATCCTGTCTGGAGAGCCTACCAAGCCCAGTATATTGAACAGGATAGCTATTTTCCGACATCTTGGAAAATCACCCTATTTAAAAAGCCAACATGCTGCTGTGTTCAGCATATCGAACCGGAGTCCATTTCCGGACATATTGGTATTATCCTGTTTGAGAAGCCATTGTGTTGCCATGTTCAGTATGTTGAACCGCACGGCCATTTCCCGACACAAAAAAGTCGACGTGCTGCTGTGCTCGTATGTTGAACGGGAATCCATCTTCCGGCATTTGATACCGTCTTGCTTGAAAAGCCAACGTGTTCCCACGCCCGATATGAAACCCAGTTTCCGCAAAATTAGCACCATGCTCACTGGAGAATCAATCAACCCTAAAAAATAAGACCTGTTTGCAAGTCGCCCACTCCAGCCAATCAATATGAGCAAATGCTAGCTCGTCGATCCATTCCAGGATGGGCGCTCTCCACCTCCTTTATCTTGTCACGTACACCAGTAACTTGTTTAAATACTATTGGTCCTAGCACGAAAGTATGACCACTGTTTATTGTCAGTTTGTTGGAAGGCATTATGTTCTCTTTTTTGAGGTCCTGTGGTTGTGGGGTGTTTTCGGTTCCAATTGGGATCCGGATGAATTTGTGAAGCATTTCGTCTTCGTCTCATATGAAAACAACAGGATAGGAAGTATAAGAAATTCAAAGGAAGAAAAAGAATAATTAAAAAGAAATGAGCTGTAAGTTAGACATGCGAAACGTGGGTCATATGATGGCGTAGCTAGTTAGGTTAGAATTTCTAATAGGTGGTGGCTTTGGCTTTTCTTCCTTTCGAAGTTTCTTCTAAGAAATTAATTTCGTAAGTGCAGATATTTGTTTGGATATTCATTTATGTCCGGAATTTTCATTGTTTCGCAAATGTAAAGATACACTGGAATTTTAATGTTTTCGCTGTTTATAAGTGTGTGTATTTTCAAGACGATTTATGCTAACCAGGAATGTTCGTCCGTTGTGCGGTCTGTTTCTGATTAGGACCAGGCAGTTGTTTGATTTTTTTCCAAATCATCACTAAGAATCCAGCAGTAATGATAAATGACTTTTACTGGGCATATATTAAAAATTATTAGTGTATGATGTTTGAGCATATTGAAAATTTCTGAAGACTTCTATAGTTTCCACTGGCGTAACACATCCGACTGTGGGTATTTTGGGTAAAATTTTCGAACATACTATTATGAAACAAATTGTGTGTTGTGCGGCTCAAATTTTAAGGATATGTTACACCTTTACTTTTCGGATGTTCTGGATAATGCAGAATAGTTTATCATGTTACTTTTGTTATTCTTTATGCATATGAACTTATTTGTCAGTACTTACTTACAGAAATGCATGGACTACTGTCGCTGAGCGTGCGCCCAACACATATTAAAGGAATAACTACCCTGAAAGCGATTCGTTGTTTCTACAAAACTACTATACCACTTCGATGTAAGGTTGAAGTTGGTAAGGAGGCGAAAAGTTTAGTTGAGAAAGCAGCGAGAAAGATGGATCCGTTTTCTGGTGGACAAAATGAACCAACCATGAAGTCTGTTTCTCTCAAACAATTTTTGAAAGAATTCAAAATTCAGTGCTGTTTCCTTCAAAGAATTCATTACTTTGAAGAAGTAGTTTTCTGCTGGGCAAAATGAACCAACCATGAAATCCTTTCAAAAAATTCATAAATTTGAAGTGGAGTGAAAGTTTTGATTTTATTTTAGTTTTTTTCAGCTTCAGACATCATATTGGCTTTCATGGATTCGAATTGTACCCTATTCAAATTCAAGTTATTGCATGGGCTACTATACTTTCACTTATAGCCTACTATGCCTTTGCAAAAATTGAAATCGTCATTGATCGAAGTAAGTCATCATTTTTATTCCTTATTCGCAAGAAGTCGTATATCATGGATACAACGCGTCTATCTTCCTCTTATTCTTCAAGTTCTTAAAAGACTAGGATACCATAACTTTAGAACGAATTATAATAAACAAAATTGACGGTTTTGAAATGGTACTGATAACGCATTAATGTATTACTGTTATGAGAAGGATTTTCGGACCCGATAATCTCGGAAAGATGACATTTGCATTAGCAGTTATATACTATTTAATTGTTTAGTGTAAGTGCCTAGTATTTTTTAGCGTTCTATCTAATACCGAAGTATGACAATTTTGAAGCCTTAGAAAAGTTTTATCTTTGATAAAGAGCTAACTTTTGCGTTTATAGATTGATATTTAAAGCGTAAGAAAAATGAAATATCGATATTTTTACTAGAAAAGAAGTTTTATCTTTGATGAAGAGCTAACTTTTGCGTTTATTTTAAAGCATAAGAAATGTCGATAATTTTTATTAAGTTTCAAAGATGTCAATGCGACATCACTTGTCCTTCCTTCTTTAGCATGTTAAAACTATACATCTATAAAAAACTAGCGTCATTTTGATCACATGATAATGATTCCCAATTTTTAAGGCTACAAGAACGATCCATTCACCTGGGCTACAATGAAAGATCGCGATCGTGATTACGTTGCTTTTGGGTAGGAATTTCAGAATAATTTAGTCGTTCACTTGAGTTGTGAGAACGCTGCAGTTCATTGATTTGAGGGCTTTACTTTATACAGTAGGTCAGACTATAACAAGTTGGCGCTAAGGTAGTGGCATTTGTTTGTTAAATATTTTGTGTTATTTTAACAAGGCTTCTGGACATATCAGGAATCTAATTTTCGCTAATGGAATAATCTTTTCAGTTTTGAAAGAAAACCAGCAGTACCACGTTTGGATCTGTTGGAAACACTGCAAGAGGAGATGATTGCGGAAGCAAGGAAACGTGGTACTCGTAAGTAATTTGAGAGCTTACCCAGCCATGTTAGTTTTGGAGTCTTTTGCTTTCAGTATCTACCATATTATTCGAACTCGTAGTGAAGATGTAGTGGGAGCAGTGGTTGTCATATTTGCTGTCAAGTTATATACAGTATCCCATAATTCTACTGTACATTTTATTTAGTTTCATGTATTATTCCTCGTAATCTTGCCATTATGGATTCTGAACAAGAAATACGAACCATACTTTCCTGAAAAGTTTTAGATGAGTTTCATCAGTACAGTGGTTGCTTTAGAAATATTCCGTACACTTTTGATTTATAAAAAAGTTTATAAAAATTTATAAAAAAGTAAGCAATATTTTCAAAGATTTACGAAAAGAAAAAATGTTTCAGAGCATTTACTTTCTTTTTAAAGTAATGGAAAAATCGAGATTAAAAGCCTTATTTCTACATGTTTTTTTTTCTCGCATAACGAAAATATTTCAGAACATTATTCTATGCGTTCTTTTATTCGCTTTTTTAGTGTACCATATTTATTGTACATCATGCAAAGATCTTATGCACATAAACTGTGTCTACTCCAACTTTAAACAACAGTAACCTCTTCTATAAAATAGTGAAGAAGAAATACAAGTCTTGAAAACTTTTCAAGATGAAGTTATCCTGCGATTGTCTTCATTTTACAGAGTATATATCTTTCATATGAATGTTAGTGGGTTTTCGATGTCAAATTTGTTTTTGGATTGTATTATTTCATATGTGTCGTGTAAACAGAAATGCCGAAAATTTTGGATGCATTGAACACGGAAAGAAAGAATATGTTGAAGAGAAAAGGAGAAAAAAGGGAGAGAAAGGACCTTGGCTTTGTTAATGTAATTTTAGAGGTCTTTCTCCTTATTTATGTTTGTTTCCAGGACAAATGTCATTTACCCTGGATAATAATGAAAGTTGTGGTGATAAAGTAAATCGAATTCATCTCACATTGCTATGGCATACGTTACTTCGAGTTGTAAGATTAATAATCAAATATTGCTTAATTACCAAATCATGCTTGAATTTTTGTCCATTTAAATATTAGTCTATTATTAAAAGATGACGTACATCTTCTAAAAAAGTGTTGAGAGAAGTACGCGAAAAGATTCAGTCACCAAATACTGGTAATTTTATTCCACAAGCAAATCTCAACACAGATGGAAGTAAGTTTGCAATAAAATATAGAATGGTGTGTACTTTTCATTTAGGAAGACATGAAGAAAGCTTGTAATGAGTATATGTTCCATGTGACTCAGAATGTAACGATAATGAATGGATATCACGCCATGTTATTCACAACGGTTCCGCTAAACGATTGCACGCAGTTATACACATAAAATATCGTTTCAAGAGTTATCCGTTTTCCAATCATAATTTTTTTTGGGATTGAATTACGCAATAATCCTTTTCTGGTTTATATTATATTTGAAATTGCTGTATATTTGATTGAATGGTAGGCTTCGGTTCGAGTTTGTAGTCGAAAATCACTGGTTAATCATTGATAAGGAAGTGCTATCTGCAAAAACTAGAATTTAGAAGTTCTACTATTTCGAAACGCCGACGACAGACCTTTTGAATTTCATTTTACTATCAATAGTTTGTATTACCGTTGACATTTGAAATTTTGTGTATTTGAATCGGGAATTTTGCAAGTTTTATCGTCCTGTTTTCGCGTTAGTAACGATTTACTGACATAACAGGCTCATGTATTTAATCCATAAAAACTTTGAAATTTTAGAAGAGAAACTTCAGCAATCCAGAAATTGCCTGTTTACTGACTAACTTCGTCTCATGTTAAATAACTTGTTTGTACAAGACGTCATGTAGCACTGACTCTCTTCGTTATCTTATCATTCAGTTTTATTGTTAAATATTTCATCAGTTTACTATTTTTGCCAATAACATAACTGGGTCGCTCTCTTTCTCGTATCGTGTATAATTTTTTTTAAAGGCGTAGTAATATGGAAATAATCGTTGTTAAAAGTTGGTTGTAGAAAACGCAATTGAAATTTTCAGACTTTTTCTGAAATTTGTCGTTAATGTGTTACAATAGTTGGATTACAACTTGGAAAACTAATCGTTTGGTTCAAATATGGTAGGGTCCAATTGCTAATATGGAATATATGATAGTTTGCAATCGATGAAATTTGTTGATATTCAAGATTTCATCTTTAACATATGATCTCGTAATAAATCAACATTACTTTTATTTCAGTTGAAATTCGTTCATATTTTATTGAACCTGTCAGTCAAAGTCATGTTTCTCCATTTATCCATGCATTATTTGCTTGGCTCATTTGTAGTAAAATAGTTAATGGGAACTACATGCTTATTCGAACTCACTAATCATCAATTTTATTTGGGAAGTATGGTTGGAGTGATGTGGAAAATCTGTAGAAGTTGTAGAGGATTAGTGAAAGAAGAGTGGATGATAATTATGTTTTTCAAGTAGAAAATGTGATTTTGCAATCAATCGAACACCGTGAATTCAGAAATTTCAGTTTCAGTACATGATATCATTGAGGTAGGAAGGAAGTAAGAGTAGGAAAAAATGGGTAAAGGTAGAGAGTGGTAAGGTTGACAGTTTTATTTGTGACCGATAAAAGTTTGTATCAAGTGAGAATGAGAGAGGGGAGAGTGAGAGAAAAAGAAAAATAAGAGTATGTTCTGATGAAATAAATCGAGATTTTTGAGAAGTATTTAATGAACTGGGAAAACTTTAAAATATTATATTTACGAGGATGTTTGTTTGCTTATTTGCAAGAAGCAAAATGATTGGGAGAGAATTTTAGGAATAAAATGGAAAACAAATTCTCACTGCATCGCTATAAATTGATGGCAAATTTCTTTCTTAATGTTATTTGTTCAAAAGTCGAAAGACTTATTATCTATCGCTTAAAATTGTTACTATTGTAATTTTACTAATTAAAGATGGACAAATGAACCACAAGTGTACGATAGAACCAGTTATTATTTCAGTACTTGATCATAAAATTATAGCTGACGATATTTACATTTTATTACAAATGATGGATGACATTGGTAAATTTTGATGAGCAGTAATGACACCTGTTGAATTTTGTTTCAAACAAATTATTCAATTATCTGATAATTTGCTTCCATTTCACTTATCGTTTATTCACTGTTTGCTTGTTAGAAGTAGCCTTATCACTACATCTTTATTCACTGCTTCCATTGTTTTACAATTTTGTTTCCCTATTTTTCATTTTCTTTATTTTCTTTTTTGAAAAACCCTTTCTCAACTTTTCCTAACCCAACTTTCTAATCAATAGTTTTTTCGTAATTTAACTTTCCTGCTTCTACTTGCTTGTTATTCCTTGGAAACGTTGATCGCTTTTGTTTGTTTGCGCTTAATATTATTGGTTCTATTATTTATTTTGTTTATTTAACTTAAGAGAAAAAACAGCAAGAAAATACTGTATCATTGTTTTTCCGTTCTCATCCTCTTACCTTTCATTTTTCTCAATTAGTATTTATCATAGGATTTTCTATTTGCCTGTTCTAAATTCTCAATTTTTTTGAAGAAGTTATCTGAGATAGGCTGTTGCACAAAGCGGACATAAATTTCAAATTTTGCCAAATGGTGAAATGTGATGCCTTCATTATATCTTACCGGAGTAGAATATGTTGTAGCTTAGGGTGATATTCATTTATTCTTGTGAAAAATAAACATTGAAAATTGGGAAATCGCGTTAGTGTACAGGTAACACATTCAGAAAATCTAACTTTTAAGATCAAAGTGTAGCAATCGTTTGGTTCAATTGAGTAATTAAGTAACTATTAATTTATTAATTCATTGTTTGATTAATTTATTGATGAAAAACTTGGTTTTCTGTGGAGACTTAATTTGAAAAAAGTGACTGAAAAGATTGATTAGAAGTAGAAGGTAAAAAAAAGTGGAAGAAAGGAACGAAAAAAAGAAATCCTTGCACTCAATTTCGTAGTATTCATTTCCTGCATGCATTCATCCGAAAACTTTATCACGTCTGGAATAAGAATTAAACGAGAACGAGAATTACTGAGAAGGATACTTTTTGTCTTTTATAGCCTTTTGTTTGGAATTAGAAAAATGAATGAGAAAATTTTAGAAGAGCTTTGATTACAAAACCACTCGGATTACCCTATAATCTGAATCGTATATTGCATAATAACGATGTGACCATAAATGAGCATAAAAAAGTTCCATAATATCGATTATGGAACTTTTCCATCGGATATCACATAGATTAATTAACTTGTTATGTCTTGATTAATCAACACGTAACGTCATCTTCACAGCGAGGTGAAACTTTTGGATTATTTAAATTTTGACATGCTTCAATGTCGCATAACTATAACCATTATTACTTCCACATTACGATATCATCAGGTTGAATTTTCCAAATGACTTGTCTTTATAACTGATATAAAGTTGAAATGAAACATTAAGGCGAAATTTTAGAATTACGTGTAATTATGAATTTTATTTTTAAATGTTGAATATTATTATATGTCTTTGTTCCTTTAAGAATAATGATAAGACGAAGACAAGAATAATGATTGAATAATGATAAGACGCAAACAAATTTATGAAAGGAAAAATGAAAATATAAAAATTGATTTACGGTACCACACAAAGTAAACAAACTTTTTATTTTTATTGAAAAAGTCGCAAAGAAAAGAAAACTTCCTTTTGTATGTAGTAATACTGAAAAATGTATAATAAAATTTTATCCGTTCACTTCAATGTATTTGAAATAATAATTGCTATTTGAAATATATCAATGTATCGATCAATAATGCTGTCGGAAAAAATGAAAATGTTAAGATAAGCATATATGGAAGATAACAACAAAAAAAGATTATTGCAAATAGTTACATTATATAAAATAGAAAATATTTAAAAATTAGGAATTCTTGAAATAGTTAATATAATCTCTACAATAGTCGAAATTAAGAATTTGTAAAAGAAATTTCACAGTTAATTCT